CGCGCCGGAAGTAGTTTGGGATTAGAGGGGGTTGGGTGGGGGGGGGTGGGTGCAAACATCCCAGAAGAGAAAGCTAGTTGCAACTGGTCCAGTTGATGAACCATTTAATGCCAACTGGTAACCCTGGAAATTGAAATGGGCTAAATGATCCAGTTGATCCAGGCCAGTTATAATTCAACTGGTCTAGCTGAGCCATATAGAACCATTTGGTAAAACTTCCAACCAGTTGAACAGCAACAATACTTCAATACTGGTACGTCTGTATTTCCAATGTAAGGGCATTGGTAATAAGTAGACTTACATAATTGAATTAATCGAAACAAATTCGTATACTTGTACTTTATTGAAATTATTTTAGTTCACAGTTAATGTTTCCCTTATTCATGTTTAACTAAATGTAATTTATACGAAGTAGCGAATTGTCCTAATAACTGGTAATTTATATTTGTAGTATTTTCATCAGTAATTAAGAAATATGCTGTAAATTCAGATAAATTGTTTAAAACACATAGATCTGCACGCACCCCATATTCAATATGCAAATGAATTGGTGTCAGCTGGGTCAACTCGAAATATGCCAACGCTCAGTCATCAACTGGTGCAACTGGAAATATGCACACTCCAGTTATCAACTGGTGCAATGAAAATATGCCAACAGTCAGTTATCAACTGGTGAACATAGAAATATGCCAACAGTCACGGGATTATCACCACGGAACTTAAATGGTAACTGTGAAACCATCAAGACACCCAAGAATAACTCATTTTCACACATGGAAAACACGGAATACCCAGCTTATATTAATAATCCGTTTGAGTCACGCGATCATCACCGCGGAACTGCTGGCAATTTTGACTACGATTTAAATAGGTGTTTTAAGACACCTAATCATGACTAATTTTTCACACCTAAAAGTCACGTATGCCCAGCTTAGATTAATAATCCGTTTGAGTCACGAGATCATCACCGCGGAACTTATGGCAACTTTGACTTCCATTTAAATAGGTGTTTTAAGACACCTAATAATGACTAATTTTTCACACCTAAAAGTCACGTATGCCCTGCTTAGATTAATATTCCGTTTGAGTTACGAGATCATCACCGCGGAACTGCTGGCAACTTTGACTACCATTTAAATAGGTGTTTTAAGACACCTAATAATTACTAATTTTTCACACATAAATATCACGGATTCACAGCTTAGATTAGTAATCAGTTTTAACTACGTGATCATCACCAAGAAAGTTATGGTAACTTTGAAACCATTTAAATAGGTGTTTTAAGACACCTAATAATGACTAATTTTTCACACCTAAAAGTCACGTATGACCAGCTTAGATCAATAATCCGTTTGAGTCACGAGATCATCACCGCGGAACTTATGGCAACTTTGACTACCATTTAAAAAGGTGTTTTAAAACACTTAATAATTACTAATTTTCACACCTACATATCACGTTTTCAAAGCTTAGATTAGTAATCAGCTTGAGCCACGTGATCATAACCAAGAAATTTATGGTAACTTTGAAACCTTTTAAAGAGGTGTGTAAGACACCTCAGAATTACTAGTTGAATATAACCAGATATTCACGGACAGAACAATAAGACGATTAGCCGGTGTAAGTAACGTGATTATTACCATCAACTTTGGATAACCTGTGAAACCAATCAATAAAGGTGCTTACAAGACCAAATAATTACGTATTTATCGCCACCATCGGTTAACTGACAAAAAAACTCGTTGCTTGGTCAAGTGGTTATTTGGTCATAAACACTTGATTTACAGAGGTAAGTGGAACCACGTTACTCCAGTCGCGTGATAAACTGGTGGTTTTTAGGTTAGATGAAAACGTGAACATGAGTACCTTTTTTGTTTAAGTGAAGGCACGTGTCGATAACGTTTAAATCTAGTTCAAAAGGCACTATACTTTAAAATCACTTAAAATACACTCCCAAAAGAGGTTACTTTTTAGTGTTCTGTTTATTGGGACATTTCTGCACGTCTAATTATGAAATTGACTTGTTGGACATTAATAGGAACCATGCTGAGTTACTGTGGTGGCAAAATCGTTTGAAAAAGACTGTGTTACATTGCAGTTTATAAGTGGTGTTGTCAGTGGCGGATCCAGGGGGGGGGGGGGGCCCGGGGGACCCGGGCCCCCCCCCCCCCTTGAGAAAAAAATCATGTAAAATCACGTGATTTTTACGATTTTTGGGGGTTGGGCCCCCCCCCCCCCTGGCGCTCAAGGGGGGGGGGGTGCAAATTGAAATTTTTTTGAGGATCAAAAAAAAAAAAAAAGTGCTCACTTCCCCCCCCCCCCCCACCCACTGAGCGATTTCTTGGCCGGCGCGTTTTTCAAATTTTCGGCCCCCCCCCCCCCACTGAGCGACTTTTCGGCCGGCGCGATTTTCAAATTTTCGGGAGCAAAAAAAAAAAAAAGTTGGGCCCCCTCCCCTAAGAAATCCTGGATCCGCGCCTGGGTGTTGTACATGTAAAGCTAAAGTTGAGTTCTGGTAATGCGATTGCATTGTGAAAGAAAAGGTGTAGAATGGGTCAGAAAAATTTGATCATGTAGCATGTAAGTATTAGTGTGTACTTCAAGGTTTTGGAGTCATCAAAATCATAATAAATTTGGCCCAGTCTTGGTACAGTATCAAGCACTGTACACAGAAAGATGTGACTACACAAATGGTGTCGGGGCTACCAACCTTGATTTCCTTATCTTTGTATGCTCATTAGTCAGCCAGTATACGTTGTCTACCAAATTTGTTTGGCAAATGACATTTATTTGTAATCTTGAACATTCAGTGTAAGTTTCGTTTGATTCTATGAGAATTGTTTTATTTTGTTTACCAGAACTCAAGTTTATCTTTAAACTTACGTTGTACTTTAACAGCATTCTCAAACCTCATTTTTGTTAAAGTAAATAAATATGGAGGTGCATATGTTGACAAACGCTGATTTATCAGAGGCTGTAGAATACGAGAAACATGTTATATCATTTTTTGAATGAAAAGCGACATCTGCCACTTATTTTAGGCTATAGGCCTTGTGAAAGGGCTTTGTCATGGCATCTTAATCCAATGCCATATATAAGATATCAGACACTGCAGTTGAATGGACCGAATAGAGTGCAATCGTATTTCTGAACCATTTAGTTGTTTTGTTAGACACAATAATGGAGGCAAAGGGAAAACAACACGTCACTGCCTGTCATGGCTCAATGGTTGCGGAGTGCATTATCTCATTAAATGAAGATGACGGGCCCATGTCCGACCATATATGCATTTTCTTGACAAGAATCATGTGCTATAATCTGCAGTGGCGTATCCATACATTAATACAAAAAAGGGTCTTTATGGATACGGGGCGGCGGAGAGATGGGGATGCATGCACAGTAGGCCAATAATTCGTGAGAACTGGAAGTTTTTATGGTATTTGTGTAGATCTTCAAATGACGAGAGAAGTGGGTGGAAATTCAGAGGCAATGACCAAAGAAATTTACGAAAGCACAAGTATTTGGAACTTCAACTCGTTCTGAATTTTAAATATTGAAACCAGTGCTTCTATGTTCAATGACCATGGATGCATTTAACACGACACATTGTACTAAACGATGTAATTTCGCGCAAGATAGTTCAACCCCTTTTCTTCCTACTTCAAATCTTTTCTCCCTTTTTTTCATGCCCATCTCTTCTGATTTCGTTTTGGGTCTTTTAATGGGAAAGTAGCCCCCCCCCCTCTCTCTCTCCTTAATTCCCTTCCTCTTTCCCTCCCTCTCCCTTCTTCCCCACCCCCTCTCTCTCTCTCTCTCTCTCTCTTCTGTCAGTTCTCCGGTATTCCTCCGTCGTTTTTGCATCCCTGTCACTCCCTCTTTAACCTCCCATCGGTCCTCCTCCGACTTTCTTTCCCATTGATTTCTTTCCCCTTTCAATGTCCCCTCGTGTCTTGCCCTTGCCCTCCTAAATGACCTTTACCCATGCACCCTTGTTTCTTCCCCTCCCTCTGCTCCACTTTAGGGTAATCTATCCCGTTCAAGATCATTCTAAAAGATGATAGCGCGAAAGATTTAAGTCGCCGTTTGAAGAAAATACTTCATCGAGGGCAGCCGTACTACCGTATCGCTACCGGGAAAGCAATCCTTAGATAGGTCACTCTCTCTGTCAAGGAAGAAAAACGTTTGGTATCAGCGTCAAGTGTTTTCACCCATTAAAGGATTTAGGCGCTGAGCATCAGTGGCGGCTATCTCTTTTTGATCGGTGTAAGTTCCGCGTAAAAAGTTAAATACCCTCGTTAATATCCCCGTTTTAATTCTGCATCAGACATTTGCCGAATTTAGATTTTCGGTTTAGCGTGTGACCTTTTAACACACTTTGGGTACTTCTTTAGCTGTTAGTCAAGAAGGTCAAGAAAATATAAGTTCTTTAAATGCCCATGCTTTGCATATCTGCCCTCGTTTCTGAGTAATTTACCTTTTTTATCTTCTTGTTCGTTATTTTCTACGTATTCTCCCTTAATAGTTTATGCACCCACCTCTCTACTTTTGCGATTTGTTTTAATAGTGCTTAACATTTTACCATGTGATCATAAAGTTCTGCACGTGCATGTGGTAAATAAACGTGCACAACAAACTACAATGATTAAAAGAGGAGGAAACTCGAAATGAAGCCTTGTCCGAGCAGATGAATGCCAAAACATTGCATGATCATTTTTAACCGCTTTTTGAAATCTGTGAAGCACGTATGGAACAGAAAAAAAAGTTAAAGAGAACGTGAATAATGCTCCGAATAAAGAGACTGTGTGGATGCGTATAGGTGGATAAAGTGAAGACATGTTGGTAGAAAATATATGAATCCATGTATTCGCTGCCGTGCTGTGGGTTTTGCTCTCATATTATAGTACGTAACTTTGAATCATCCATACCCTTTCACGTTTATATTTGCCTTATATTTTCATCTAAACCTTCTTCGTTTTTTATTCCTTTTCTCCTCATCGCAGCATTTAAAGCGACTCGTTTCTGCCTGGATACGGGGGAATGGGCTGCTTTTACGCATTACAATGACTGCCACACAATCAATATGCCGGTAGGTATTTATCAATGGGATTCAAGAAAATAATATACATCAATGTCCTCGTTAATGACCTCTTGAAATGAATTTGAATTATAACTGTTTAAAGGTAAAGACCAGTATTGGAAACGCCCCAATTTCAAAAAATGAAATGGAAGCTCTCATTACCAATCATGTGAAAGAATATGTTTTGACTGATACATGATGATAAAAAATTTGCCAGGAAACCGCCTACTAATTCATATATTTGGTAAATTTGTTTCTCTCATGGTCTGTGAGAGATATAGGGTAGTCCCATATACATCTTTCTGTGTATAGTGCTTGTAACTTTACGAAGAATGGGCCAAATTTCTTATCATTTTGATGATTCCAGAACCTTGCAGATGCTAGATGCTAGATGATCAACCCTTTCTGATCGATTCCACAACGTTTCTTTCACAATGCAATCGCATGACCATAACTGGTCTTTACCTTTAAGAAATCACTACATAACGGGAATGATTTTACTTTAGGATGGAATACATTCTACGATAAAAGGGATCGCTCCCTTAAAGTTTTCATTATTTTGCTACAACAAAGCTTTTGTCGAATCTTGGGTACACTAAGTAATTTTGTCTCTTGTCCATCGATTGATGAATGTGTTGACACCCTTTTCATTCTAAAGATGGTATAATGTTTCTCAGTGCTGAAGAAAGTAATAGTTTCCTATAGAAACATACCAATCTGGCTGATATAGAAAAGATTATGTAAACGCTGTAATGTACACGAGAAAACAAACGAGAAGGCGAAACCGCGAAACAAAAAATAAATTCCTCGAAATATATACAGTTAACTTATTCATAGGCATACCCTTACCAAGTATTGTAAGTTTTCAAGTATGTGAAAAATGTATTTGTCCCGAAATACCTTTCTCGAGAATGTGGTAAATTAAAACATTCATCTACAAGCATTCAACAAATGTCCTAATTCAACCAGTCTACCTTTTATTCTTGAGTTACCACAAAAACAAAACAAAAAACATCAAATTTACTAAAGGTATGAATAACTTAGTAGCTTACTGTAGGCTATATGTATATTATTTTAAAAAAGGGTTTAAGTACAACTTATATAGCTATGAATCAATGAGAAGTGTTTTAAGTATTAAAGATAAACTTGAGTTGTGGTAAAAAAAGAAAATGAATTCTCACAGAATCTAACGAAACTTACACTGAATGTTCAAGATTACAATTAAAGGTCATGTGCCAAACAATTTTGGAAGAAAATGTATACTGGCTGAGTAATGATCATAGAAAGATAAGGAAATCAGGGTAGTACTAGCCCCGACACCATGTGTGTTGTCCCATATACATCTATCTGTGTAAGTGATTGTTACTTTACCAAGACTCTGCCAAATTTATGATGATTTTGATGACTCTAGAACCTTGCATTACACACCATTACTTACATGCTATATGATCAACTTTTCTGATCCATTCCACACCTTTTCTTTCACAATGCAATTGCATTACCAGTACTCAAGTTTATCTTTAAACATCTCACTGCACTCTTCTCCTCCTATCTCGTCGTACCCTTACAGGTGGCGCCACCGAGTCCTACCTTCTATCTGGCTCTGCGGTACGTGTACCTGATCGGGATCACCCTCTCACTCGTTCTCCTTCTCATCACCCTCTTCATCTTCTGCTACTTCAAGTGAGTTTATTTGATTGTTTTTGTTTTTATACCTGCCAAGAAAGCCTTTTTTTACTTCGTGGCTCTCCAAGGGGCTTGGTAATTAGGATTAAAGACTTACCAAAGGTCACTAGCGCATCTACTTGGTTTCGAATGATTTAACAGATCTCTAAGGAATTCGTATTGAGGATATAATCCATTTTAATTCCTCGTCTTTTTAGCTGAAAGTACATTTTTAAGTATTTTTCAAAAACGGCGGTGAAATTTGTTGCAAAGTTGTCACCATTATGTAGTATACAGTTTATGATGACAACTTTCCCTAAATGGTCTTGCGGGTTTACAAAATAGCGATCGAGCTGAATTATTACGTGGTGTCAATTGATTTTCGTTTTCAATCCCCAAATCAATTGGTATTAAAGTACTCATCTTTATTCAGATGAAGTATTGCAAATTGAAATATAAAAGCCCTACAAGGAAACTGAGATAACGGCGTAAATTGATCAGGGACGATATCATCCAGAAAGAAATACGTTTCATAGTTTATAGTTCATAGTTCATAGTTCATAGTTCATAGTTACATTATTGATATTTCTTCTTCTTCTACTTCTTTTTATTTTTCTTTCTTTCGTCCTGCCTTTCTTTTTCTTTGTCTTCTAATTTTACAGGGCGTTGCAGTGCACGCGGATCGCAATCCACAAAAACCTCGTAGTATCCTTCATCTTCAGATACATCTTTATGATAATACAACTACAGCCTCTTCTGACCATGGACTACAGCACTGAAATCAGGTTAAGCTCGTCCAATCTTCAAGAGAACAGCCAAAACAACTTCGTACTCCATAAAGTTGTAAGTAGCAACCTAGGACCGAAAGACCCCTGATACCGTATTCTACTAGGTCCGTTGAACTCGACCCTGGATCGAAAATCACGTTTACCAAAAGAAAACTTAGACTGCAGACGAGTTTCCTTGGTTAAACCTGATTTTGGACAACAGCCTATAAACCCAGCGTAGTTGATCACGAGTTAAAGTTAATCTTGAGCTCTGATATGGACATCGTGTGTCGAGAGAACATGTCTATAATTCATATCAGGTTGTTTATCCTGCAGTAGATTGATTATTTGAACCAGTAAAATAAACACGAACTCACACAAACTTGCTGGAAATCTTCTTCAATAAAATCCACAACTCTCATTTCCACATAGTGACCTGTGTTAAGCACAAGTCATGGTGGACTTTATCTAGATTTAACTCTGTTTTGTCCGTGTGGCATGTCCGTCCCTTATCCATTTATGTAATCCCCAAATGACATTACCATCGACTAATGGCTATTTAGGCATCACTATCATTAGTCAATTTTCATATCAAGATATTTCTGTGTTCTGAGGTTAAAATACTAAATGTCATATTACGTCGTTCGCGGCACTGTTCATGGAATCGCACATAGAACATGAATGATGATTAACCCATTTTAACGAGAACGGGCAGGTTTTAAAGATGAAGTTGGGTTCTGGTCATGCGATTGCATTGTGAAAGAAACGGTGTGGAACCGACCAGAAAAGGTTGATCATCTAGCATATAAGAATTTGTGTGTATTGCAAGGTTCTAAAATCATCAAAATGATAAGAAATTTGGCCAAGTCTTGGTAAAGTTACAAACACTTGCACAGAAAGATGTATATGGGACTACACTAACACGTGGCGTAAAAAGCCGGCCCCCGATTTTTACGATGTTACATGCATATTTAGAATATGAAGGCATTTGAAGAGCCATGCTTTTTAGGGAACATGTCTTAACTGATGTTCTTCCACACTTGCATAATAAGAATGAGTAATGCTCACAAATTATTTTTCAACTCTTCCTAGAATTCAACCTTCTCTTTAATTAAGCAGCCCCTCCCCCGCATATCCAACACGAAAACAAATAGATTTGGTTTCTAAAACACCGATTAGTGTACCATTTCAGGGAAGTTTATACTCCAATTACGGCGATTCTAAGATTTTAGAATGAATTTGAAGATAAAGTACCTTATTTTCGTAATGATTGGGGTGTTTCTTTAACTAAAAGGTACCCTCTCTGACATCTGACTACGTTTTGTTATAGCCCACTGACCCCTTCTCTGCGATATGCAATGTAAAAAAGGGTTGGCAAACGATCAAGGAATATACAGAAATATATCGCTTGTCAGACACGAATTATAGGAAGACTCAATAAGTAATATAGCCATGCAGGCAAAATGAATATCCATTTCAGCTCAACTCAAACTTCTATTGCTTAGGTTTCTTTTAAAGAGGCCATTAGTGAAAATATTGACATTTCCCCGGCTTTATATTTTCAGAGCGTTCGCGATAAAGAGGGATAATGGCAAAACAGTTCAGAACAAAAATAAACATTGGCATTTTTCAGTTCCTTAATCCCACAGTTTATAGAATGGGACATTTAAGGTTATTCATATATTCGAGCCTACGGTTAGTTAGATCCAGGAGTAAGGAGGGCCTATAGATTTCTTTCAAATTCTGCTTACGTGGGATAGAGAGAATCGCCTACATCCTTTATGATTAAAACATTATATTTCCATATACATTGAAGGAGATGTCTGCCCTAAGGGATGACCCATCTCAATTTACCGCCGTCGTGGGTGATTTGTACTGCTCCATCGTTTTTATCCTCTTATTTTGTTTCTTTAATACCACCGTAGAATTCGCTGATACCCAAACGCAGCTCAACCGTGTTTTGTGCGGAGCCCTCCCGTTGTTTGCCCCTCGTATCTCGGCGTATTGGATTCCCAGAGTGGGCATCAGCGGGGCGAAAGATTGATTGTTTGGCTTCGTCGTCACGGGTATACGGTCCGTCGACTCTTGTTTTAGTCTTCTCGTCTTTTGAAGAACGCCCATGTAATGTTTTGTACAACTCTCCTTAACATCGTATAAACGTAATCGATATTGCCCATCAGGTTTCGGTATCGCTCATTTGATAGATCATTCATCGATCGTTCGCTCTTGAGAAGATCCGGGGAGAAGATATCCTTTGCGACCCTGCGCCTCCAGAGTCTTGACAACACATGAATAAACACAAGTGAAACAATGGAAGCTATTTTCCCGTTTTCTTTCCGCTTCGGGGTCACTTATTAATCATGACAGGATTTCCAAGAGAAAACGGACTAGTTCTTGAATCTATCATGATATTATATCATTTTGTAGCAGTAGGCTTTTGTAGATATATTGTTTGATGATATTAAATGGGGCGAGGGGTTACGGGGCAAATACCCACTCAAGTGTGCGTTGCTTCACTTTTTTTACAGACGATCTGCCGACAAGCATGACAAAACCTATAAAATTACTAAATTTGCCCCCAATTTTAATATTTGCCCCATCCCTTTCCTCGTTTCGACGACCTTCATATTATAGGTAGCATATAGTTTGGAATTTTCACAGAATGCTATGAAAGCAAGATTTTCGACACTAAGCCATGTATGTTAGTCCATCGTACTTTAAGGGATAACTTAAATCACTTTGACCAACGGCCGAGTTAAAGCCCCCCCCCCCCCCCCCGAAAAAAAAATAGATAAAAAATAAAAATAAAAAATAACAAAATAACAAAATAATAAAACAAATGTTATGTTATTTATTCATGTATTATTTGTCTATTTATTTCATTTGTTTAATTATTATTTTATTTCATTTTTATGGTGACATTGCATTAAATACGGATTTGGACTATCGCATGGATTCTCGAGAAAAAAAAACAGTTTGTGTCGCTCATTTATATACAGAGTGGAAAAAAGGGACATTAGCAATATTCGGATATCGCTTTAATTTTCTTTGAAATATAAGCTTTCGCGAAATCGCCATGGGGTATATATATGCATGATACATGAGTGTATACACGGCAGACAGCATACAAATTGAAATTGAAAGAACAACCTGTCAGAATCCTGCCTGGTTGTTTTATTTTTAATGATAAAATACACATTTGTACAAATTTGATGGCATCTTGACAGTTCTTTGGGGAGATACACGCCACTTCTGAAAGTTAAAGCTAAGCTATTAAATCATTTCCTTTTGTATAGTTATCGTGAGTTGTATTAAATGCGCCACTTTTAATATCCCAATAGTCTGGGAATGTATATATCTCGCCTGGGTGTCCCGCGTTTGATATAACCCCTTTCGCTGTCATGGTAACGGAAAGCCGATCCTTAGGGATCATCGATCTTTTCATATTATAGACGGTCTAACCAGATAGCGCTCTGAATTTCTTCTATCGCCCACAGAATGATTGTTCAGTTCTTCCCCCTCGTGTCCAAAAACTGCCTCATTTTATTTCGCTGTCACTTGCCTCTGAGTTAACCCCCTCAACGCTGTTTAATCTTCACTTTATCTCCACAAGTTTGACAGACAAGCGGCAATGATAAGTGGATCCCCCGTCCCTTCACTTCCTCCCTTGTGACGCTAATATACATAGAATATTCTTTGTAGATCCGCTATTATCCTTTCCAGAAAAGAATAGTTAAACAAAAGGGTTAAAGTAAAAGGATGGAAAGAATGAGTCTGTAAATTGTACCCATCTCTCCATGTACATGAACTATCCTCTCCAGATCTGTGCTTCCCGTGTCCCCTCCTCTCTCTCTACTTTCCTCTCCTTTTTCTCTCTATACATAATATCTCTATTGTGTATATATATATATATATTGTTTGGCATTTTGCGTGATACTAGTCACACTACTGTAAATACTTTGGTAAAGCACTTTAAATTATGGTAAAAAAGTAATCTATAGCTTTTCTGAACTTCCATCCCCTATCCTGCTTATTAGATTAAAAAAAACATAAAATGTAAATGCAATGTACATGTTAACGTTTCTACTCTATTAAATTATGTCCTCTTTCTGAATTAACGCTTGCCATGGCTAGTGATATAATACTGATTGACTGATGCTTATAAGTAAATCACTGACCGGAATATTAACTGCTCTTTAAATAAAGAAAAGAAGGATCCGATTGTCAAACTGTGGTTTCTGTTCGGTGACATAAGCAGAAAAAGATTTGCATTGCAAGATGGAGATCAACTTGATAGCTCAGTTAACGTCAACTCTCTTTCCCTCTCCCTCTCTTTCCCGTTTCCCTATTTATGTATATATGTTTCTTTTTTGTTTCTATCTGTCTGTCTCACCCCCCCCCCCATCTCTCTCTATCCATCTATCTATCTCTCCATCTCTCTTTCTTGCTTCATCATGTATTTGCTCTTCATCTCTCTCACTTTTTTCTTTCTCTCACCTTTTCTCCGTTTCTATTCTGCATCTCCCTATCCTCTCTCATGTTACTTCTTAAGACATATAATAATAGCAACGTAGCCATAGGGTAGGAATGACGTACATGCCCTGTTTCGTTCTCTTTTCTTGTTTTCCTTATCTGCATGGGCCTTGTGCTGCAAGACGGAAGCGATTCTAAATGTAAATCAAGTCACTCTATACTTTTTCATACATTTCTGGCAAAGTTCAGACGTCCAAATACACCAGACTTGTTAATTAATCTCTGCGCGTTAGCTACATCAATAATTCAATTGAATGGATGAACATTTGTGTCGTGCTGAATGTTAATTTAGTGTCCTTTTCAACTTCCTTGTGACACGGTTACAAATTACAATTGCCCTTCTCCACAATATTCATAATGGAGGGAGATCATTTCTGTGTGTCCCTTTACGGCGGCCGAGGAGTTGACATCTTCTTTAGATGCCGTTTCTTTACATAGCGTACAAAGCGCGGCGTATTTTACCAGACGTAGCGCATTGCGTATCCGGACACCTACCCCCTAAAGATCCACCCCCGGATAACCACCCCCAGACAACTACCCCCAGACAACTACCCCCGGACAACCATCCCAGACAACTACCCCTATGACAACTGCCCCCGGACAACTACACCCTAGGATAGTTGTCCGGGGGTAGTTGTCCTAGAGGATGGTTGTCGTAGGGGGTAGTTGTCCGGGGGTTAGTTGTCCTAAGGGGTAGTTTATTGGGGGTAGTTGTCCGGGTGGCAGTTGTCCTAGGGGATTTTTTTATTGGGGGTAGATGTACGGGAGTAGTTATCTAAGGGGGTAGTCGTTCAAGCTCCCTCCCCCCCCCCCCCCACCCTCACACACACATACAAACACGTACACATATCTCGAAAGTATGATTCAACACCATTTAGAAACCATTTTCACCTTTTCTTTTCTCTTAACATTGCAGCCAGGGTTTTGTCGCTTCATCTTGGTACTCCTGGAGTATTTCATCATGGCCAACATGTACTGGATGTTTGTAGAAGGTCTCTACCTGACCAGCCGGATTGCTGTCGCAGTCTTCAGCACCGAGTCCAACTTCAAAGTATACCTGGCCATTGGTTGGGGTAAGTCATTATTTATTTATTTTTTACTATAGTTTCATAGAGCCCCCCCCCCCCCCCACATAGTCCGGATAGTTGCAAATCAACAGCAGCTCTTTGAAGGGCCCTTTTAGGGTATTTTTGGCTAAAGTATTGATCCCCCACTATTTCAATTCAATTCGATTTAGTTTGCATTCTAAACATATTACAAATCATAAACACAGAATGCATGAGAGGTCTGGACCTCTAAGAAGCAACTTGTGCTTGTAAATGAGACCCTTATCAAGGTAAACGCGATATTGGATTAAATAGCAAAAGAAATAAAACTTGCAAGGTGTATATATGTATATTTAGAAGAGAGAGAAAAACAACAGCTGTTTTTTTTTATATAGTCCGTGTAGTGATGCACTTCACATTTTCAGGGAGTTATACAGGGAAGAAGGGACCCGAAGGTAATAGTGTATAAGTTTGCTTTCCCCTCTCAGGCGCATGTAACACCGAAGTACAATGATAATATCAATAGTATTCTTTATTAGAAAGCAGACATTAAATTTTGAGCCACCTCTGATATCATATACAGTACGATTATGACGGCAACGGCGTGTACGAAGATGATGATAATAAGGGTAATGGTGGCGCTGGTGGTGATGATAGTGATAGCAATCATTTTATCAAAATGATTAACACAGGGGCAAATTGTTGCAGTAAGCAATGAGTTAATTTTAAACAAAGTTATACAGGTTATTGATTAAAGGCATCGTTTAACAATGTTAAATCTGGTATGCATGATCCTGCGTGTTATCAGTGTCTGTGATATGGGGTAATATTGAAACCACAGAAAATCGCGCTTCAAAGTGATCAAGAAGCGCCTCAAAAAAGTATAAATCTTTGAGTGACCGGTTTTACCATACTCGTTATGGAAACCGTTAGGAAAACGCAAAATTTGGTTTCGATATCCAATCACAAATATCTTGATAATCAGACAGGCGATCGGCTTGAAAAAGTCATGGGGTTCCTGACTGACCTAAAGGTTTATAATTATCATTGCAGCATTAGCTAAATCCAGGATTTTGTTTCAAAATCTGAGACAAAGTTACCGGATCCCTTTAAGGTTTATAAAATGCAAATATATATACGCATCTTATATTTGTTGCAGTTCATAACATAATATTCACTATGGATTTCACCAACAAAATACTATCAACAGAGAAGGCAACGTCTGATGAGGAGTCTATCTTATTTAAAGTAGGTCGAAAGGGGGAACCTAGATGAAGCACAAATTTCTACAGGTTATTGATTGTTACGGTTTATAAAATGCTAATAAATATATATATATCTTACATTTGTTGCGATTCATAAAATAATATTCACTATGGATTTCACCAACAAAATAATATCAACAGAGAAGGCAACGTCTGATGAGGAGTCTATCTTTTTTAAAGTAGGTCGAAAGGGAGAACCTAGATGCAACAATAGTTAACTTAAAACAAATTTCTACAAGTTATTGATTGTTAAGGTTGATGAAATGCTAATAGCTATATGCATCTTACATTTATTGCAATTCATAAAATAATATTCACTATGAAGTTCACCAAATAATATCAACAGAGAAGGCAACGTCTGATGAGGAGTCTATCTTTTTTAAAGTAGGTCGAAAGGGGGAACCTAGATGAAGATCGATCGACGGCCTATGGGATTTCATCCCCTGTCAGTTAACAAATTGCCGCGCAGAATACTCAAACTGAACCCTTTCCAAGTTAACGCAACATCTTCTTGAAACCTCTTAAACTTCCACCATGCTAATAGATACATTTTGTTTGCTTAGTACTCTACTCCTGTTTTGAAATACGAGTACCTACATGCTGTAGCTTTAGGATAACATTGTGACGTCAGGCTTATCTCTCTCTCTCTCTCTCTCTCTCTCTCTCTCTCTCTCACACACACACATACACACACTCTCTCTCTCTCACACACACACACACACACACTCTCTCTCTCTATCTCTCTCTCTCTCTCTCTCTCTCTCTCTATTATACTTCTTTTTTCTGTGTCTTATTAGTAATATATGTCAAGTTATAAAAAGGATGCCGTATTTGGGTTATTTTTGCTCAACAATCGATGATTGTTTTTAGCCCCAGGAATTCCTCTCTCCACCAATAACTAGGAAGTCAGAGAGAACATATACATACATTTCGGTCATGCTGTTGTTTTATTTGCAGGGTTCATTTTGTAGGTTGCTCAGTACTGTTATTGGACCCCAACTCGTCAATCATCTTCATATATCCTGCTCTCTTTCTCCCATCTCTTTAATTCATTTTATTTTAAATCTTCTCTCGCACCCTCCCTCTCCATCTGTTCATCTTTTGCCCCATTTTTTTCTTTTCGCAAACATTTTCTCACTCTCTCTCTCTCTCTCTCTCTCTTCTTTCTGTCATCTCACTTTATCTCTTCTTTTTGTGTTTCTTCTTTGTTCCTTCAATGTTGCTCCTCCCCCTCCTTCAACCTTTTCTTCTCTTCCTCTTTTTCTTCTTTTCTCCTACTTTTCTCTAACCCTCTCTTTCTCTCACCCCCTGTCACCTTAACCTCACCTTTCTCATATCCCCATTTCTTTCTTTCATCTCTCTCTTTTTTCATCTCTCTCTTTTCCTTTTGTTTCTCTTTGTCTAACTACCCCTCGTTCGCTGCTTCTAAGTTTCTTTAATAATGTGTTTCTCCATCTCTCTATCTGTCCTATTCTCTTCCATTGTAAAACAAAATCAAATATTTTGCGCCCATGTTCCGGAGTTAACCGAAGCAAACACCAGTTGACCAATGGTTTTTCCAAATCAGGAACAGACCTCCAGATTAATGTAAAGAACTTTTCAAACAAGTTAGGTCACGTGTCCAGACGTAGGTTCTCACGTCAGTACTGTTGTCCAAAGTTTCATTGTCGCCCCTGAACATGGTCAGATGTCATGCCTTGTAGCGTAGTACATCGGGATGTCTTACGATGGGTGGACAGTGAAAGACAGTCAAAAGTTGTGGTATCAATAGCCACGTTGAGGAACGAACCTAATATAAACGATTGCCAATTCGGTTTGGGCAGTCACGACACGTTTCTCAGCTTACTGGAATTTCCAATAACCCTATGGACACTGAACATGATTCGAATCCTGGGGTTTGGGGGATTTATGTGTCAGCACATGATAAGCCATGCTATTCACCATACGTGCTGTCCATACGATTTGAGCCGACACGTCATGTTACTTCGCACAAATCAAACGTCATTTTGATGCAGATTGGGAAAATCCTACGTGTGAACATAATGGCAAACCATGTGACTCCACACATAATCAAATGCTGTCCATACGATGTCAGCCACGTTCGAGGGGATACATTGACAGTAACGTTGAAGACGAACTATTAACGAAAATTGCCGTGTAAACATTATGCTTAGCCTAGTGACTTAATCCTCCGGTACATTTTCGCCTGGGCAACTTCTATGCATACGTTCAAACCGATGTGAGGGATCGGGATACGTTGAGGACATCTGACAGGTGATCCCACAGTTTATGGCTCAAAATGGAAAATGCTGCAAGGAAGAAAGTGCAAATGTATTATTCAAGGGATGCCCTCTGTCGGCCATGATTAGAGCGTTTCCATTGATTTTTCGGAAAGGTACGAAAATAGTTGAGCCCTCGCCCGAATCTATCCCCGCTACCCTGACCTTAGAGGTCAACATTAATTGAAGAGGGCGCTGTTTGTTTCGTTTATTACTGATAACGATGATCCGTGAGTCAGATGAAGTGGATTTTCGAGGGTTTTGTAAAGGTAAAACATGCCCTCTCTTTCACAAAACATATCGATTTGGATATGGGTGTGCAGTGTGTGCGTGTGTGTACGGGGGTGGAGGCGTAAAGGGGGCACTCCATGGGGTGTGGGTGTTTAAGGGCGTACCTAGTAAAGCTTGCGTTTAACCCCTCTTAGGAAGCCCAGAAGGAAATAAGTAATACATTACTCGCAATGTATTTTAGTCAAGGGGAACTTGCCTGCTATAGCCCCCCCCCCCCCCCAACGATAGTAACTGCTGTGTATACATTTAGGTGTGTGGGTGTAGTGAGGCGAGATAGGGAAACTTTTTTGGAAAAGTATATGGTAAAGATAAAAAGACAAGTCTACAGTATATGTGATGACATATTCGACGAAATGAATTTGAAAATTTAGTTCCATTCCTAAAGTTTAGATGGAACTTTTCAGTGTTTTTTTTAACATAATTGATGACCTGCATTGTAATTAGCTAAACGATCGCCAGGATTTCAACGAGGAATGAACGTTCCATACGAAGAAGTAAAACGCAGATAAATGATGGGCCACAACTTGTGTTTGTACTTCTACCTTAATAATCAATTACGTTTTATTATCTAAGTGCCGATAAAATAAATTTTACAAGTGAATCCATTCTGAAGAAAAGGATTATTTAACAGACTGATTATTGGAAAAAGTGTGAGTGACTTGGTCTTGTGCATTGGGTTTACTTAATGTGGCATTGAAACGTTCTGCATGAAACCTCACGCCATTCTAAATAATCCGTTGGACAGATTGGAGTGCCCTAAAAGTCAGGAAAAACAATTCCAATAAGTGGGGATGTCCCTGTTGAAATTTACATTTCAGTAACCTAATCATGGGTAGCAAGGGATCTAAATCTTCTTTGGAGTCATCTCTCTCTCTCTCTCTCTTTCTCTCTCTTCCTTTCTTTATCAATTTCTCTCTTCTCCTCCCATCTATTTTTTTCCTTTTCATCCCCTCTCCATTTTCTTTACCCCCTCTCTCTCGCTTGTTCTCGCCTTGTAATTCTACAATTTATTATCGAATGTTTCTCTTTGGCTGTTGCTGTCGATATCTTCTTTTTGTTTTCCTACACAACATTGTGTTGCTCTGTCTGGAGATGTACTTTCAATCTCAAGGCCGCTGTGTCCTTACTTTCCTCTGTGATTTCTGCGTATCCTTTTTAACTGAAACCTTTATAAAATATTTGTGCTTCGTATCTTGTGTTCTTTCTTTTTGTCCATACAGTTTCTACATGTATGTTCATATTGTTTTACACTTTAGCAAAACTTTGAAATGTGCACTTGTCCAATATGAGTATCAACTGACACTGCATCTTTGATCCGATTGAACTTGGGTTATCCAAACTGTATATGTAGAGCCTGGTACTAGTAGGTGCTACATCTACATTCCAATTGAAAAACACCACTTGTGCCATTACACTTTTATAGTTCTGTAGGTTTAATGGGATCATCCATAGACACGTCAACGGCAATAGGTTACCCATTACACGAGTTCGGTCCTTTTTAAACTCTTATTAAAGAATCACATGATTCATTGATTTGTTTCATTGTCCCTTTTAGCCCCCCTTATTTAAAACACTCTCTTTCTCTCTCTCTCTCTCTGCCTCCCCCTTCTCTTTCTCTCTCTGTTCCCTCTCCTCTCTCTTCTCTCTTTCTCACTCTCTCTCTCAGTCTCTCTCTCTCTCTCTTTTCTTTTCTCTCTCTCTCAGTCTCCTCTCTCTTGATTAAAAAAAACACAAATACGATTCACACAATTTCTTTTAAAAACAAACATACAAGTTTTTACTCGCACCCTGTACATATATGCACAAGGATCCTGGCCAGCAGGCTCACACAGGCTCCTCACAGGCACACACAGTGTGCACTCAAGGCCTTGAAGCAGTACTTTTCTTGGAAGAAGAAGAAGATATCAAATTTAAAGATCTACAAACAAGTATTTGGAAAAAAATTGAAATTAAAAAATAAAATGAAATTAAACTCATCTCTCTCTCTCTCTTTATCTCCATCTCTCATTCATCCTATACAGTTTCTCCGTTGCTGTTTGTCATCCCATGGGCTATTGTAATGAGTTATGACAGTATTTCACCCTGCTGGCTGGATCATCTTGATAACCCATACATATGGACCCTCAGAGCACCTCTTATAATCGCAATATTGGTAAGCATTATACCCGTATAAGAAATGGCATATTAGTAGCGAGTATCCTATTGGCTGAACAGGGGTCACGTGACAATCGCCATTTTGTTTTATGTGCACGGACGTGAATTAGACTTCGCGCCTCTCTCTCCTGCGCGTACCCATTGTCTCCGTATTCTTAGTTGCGCGTATCTGACGCGAAGGCAACCTGAATGTAAAGTGGGGGCTTGACTCCAAAGAATTAAGCAAGGCATGAAATATAAAATACCCTCAATTTTATAATGCTGCATCCATATTGTCGTTCGATAAAATATATATTCAACTCCAAATGCAGCATTCCCCTCATGCCATTGTAGTTCAACCTTGGCCCGCGGCCTCGGAAATATAACACCACTTAGGATTTTCAGAATTCGTTGGTTCATATATTTTGTTGTATTGGACGCCGGAGCACGCAATATTTGTATATTAATCAGTATGAGGTATTCAGCATAAGGTGAAGTCGATGTCCGTTGGAATGCCCAGAGGAGAAACTCAATTCACATGCAGTTGTGGCATTTAACAATAAAGTTCCTAAATGCATGCCCCATGGGTAGCCATTATAGACGTATATATTTTGACAAGCTATTTTCTTTCATATCATGCTGCAACTGTGCTCGAGACTTTGTCAAACGTTGAAAAACACCCATAAAACTGCTTTTATATTATAAGAGTGTATATGATATTTCTTATTACCATTTTTTTCAATTTGCTGATCAGTTATCAAGTATGCCCAGTTCAGTCTCTTGAGTCTGCCAAACCACGCATCCTGTTATTTTTCTTTTCTTTTTTAACTTGTTTTGTTTTAACAGATCAACACTCTATTCCTCATAAACATCATCCGGATCCTCATTACCAAGTTACAAGCCAGTAACACCATGGAGACGAACCAAATGAGGTCGAGTAGATTTTTATCTTCTTTTTATTTAATAGCGGTCCCGCCTCTCGAGGCATTGGGTCCATTTAGAAGGAAAAATTATCTCTGGGAGTTGCCGAATTGCACCGTAATGGACCGCTAAAGAGTGTGACAGAGGAGGATATGCCCTTTTAAGAACGTTGCGTAAAGAAAACGAGCCAGTCATAAATCATCATACCTTCTTATATTTCTGTGCTAAGATGGAAGAATCAAATACATCCATCACATTTAGCGTTGATAACTACCCCATTCAAAATTAGGCCTCGACTAGTTCTCTTAATTTCGTTAACCTCCCATAAAGTGCAAACATATTTTTCATCGATATTCTCCTTGCATGGCTACTATTCCGTCTGTTTGGCGCCACCAACGTTGTATGTAGTTGACTCATACATCTTTTCTTATTTTAACTCTAAAAGGTTGAATTTTACGTTTCGGGGTAGTTATTCCAACGTGTTACATTTGACAAGAACGAACAAACTTACAGGAATCATTGACATTCATACAATAAGCCATCATTTTCTTTTGTTTTACAGGAAAGCGACGAAAGCTGTGGCCGTCCTGTTCCCATTGCTCGGTCTGACCAATCTCATCTTCTTTTGGAATGTGAAAAGTGAGAACGAGGCCGTAGAGAAAGCTTTCATTGCCACCAATGCTGTTCTACAGTCAACGCAGGTAAGGAATATCGTTAGTGTGGGTTCTCAATTATCGTGTTTGCATATACTTGAAATGTAAAAATCGAATACCTCTGAAAATGACCGTTAATGAAATTATATGGCCATCCACAAAGATTTCGCGAATATTTCATGAACTGCAATATTCTAGAACTCGGAGGTAATTTGAAATCAAGTTTGCATAATTAACTTGAAATGAAAACCTCTGAAAATGACCTTTAATCAAATAAAGGCTATTCACAAATATTTTTCGATTATTTCACGAACTGCAATATTTTATAACTCGGAGGTAAATTTAAACAATTGTGCATATACTTGAAACGAAAACTACTGAAAATGGCCTTTAATAAAATTGAGACCACGCACAAAGATCTCGTGGATATTTCGTGAACCGCATTACTCTAAAACTCAGAGATAATTTTAAAACAGGATATGCTATGTGAATGCAACGATAACAACTGGTTCTTATAAAAGCGTTTTACCACCTCACATCGGCGAAAGCACTTACAATATTGTTATTACTCGGGTCATTGTATTCAATTACTATAAGGCACAGTATGACAATAAAAATTCTCCACTCCCTGAGGATAAATCCAGCAAGATGTATTTTTACCGGATGGCAATAAATAGGGTATTTGACGTTTGATGCTTGAGGCATGCATGACTGTTAAGGAGCCCTTTCAAACATATCAACTGAGAATTTATTTGTTGTGTGTGTGTAATCTGCATTTTCCAGCTTTTATTTTGAAATGGGCGAAGTACATGGCATAGGAGAGGGCCCTTAATTTACTGTTCTGTAGAAAACGTCTGATTTGATGCTTTAAACACGGATTATTTTTGTTCTGGGTTTTTTTCAGGGTGTTTTCGTTGCGGTGATCTACTGTTTCTTGAATACAGAGGTAAGAAAATCCGGCCAAAGCACGTATCGCTTAAAGTGACCAAAAAAAAAAGTCTTAAATGACTGTATATAGGAATTATTAAGTTTTACCAATGATTTCCACGCCTTTAAGCTTAGTTTATGTGTCAACCTTCTTCGTGATTTTTTAATGTTAGTATTGCATTATAAGTATGTTACGATGACGATGTAGTCATTATATAACTTGTTTATTTACACGATGATATCGTAATTAATTTGTAACTTTGGAAAGACTCCATTAAAAAAAATAACATAAATCAAATAAATCAAGATTATGTGCACGATTTTTACCATCTGCTTTGCACCCTTGTCCAATTCTTGAAATATATTGGAACAATATGAGACAAACAGTAAAAATAAATATTCCTTCTTGTTTCAGCTGATTCCGATCAAAATGTTTACACCCAAAGCAAACTCTGTAATCCATGAGTATAGCAAGAATATGTGTGCTTTAGTCAAATAAATGGATAACATGTACATTATACTCTATCAATATTCACCAATTGATGCTCTTTCAGGTTCGGAAGTTGGTCAAACGCAGGGTTCTCGCTAGCCTTGACGAGTACGGTAAACGAACTCCTCGTCGAAGCCACCAGTACCACACCACCAACGGCTCGTGCGGAGTGCCAACGACTTCCGAGGTCGTCATGGCGGTATCGTATCGTCGAAGTACGCAGGATCAATCAACGATAGCTGACCCGGATCAATACACCGAAATGAAACCGTTTACTTCCGAGTGCGGCGAGAGTTGAGCATAGGGCCATGCCTTTGGAAAAACTGATAAAAAAGTTTGTGCGATTGAACAATCTCGATGTTTTAAGGATCAAGTGCTGCTCCCGAAAGGTATCCCGTGCCAAATAGTTGTTTGTAAGGCGGTGCACCAGTGCAACGGAACGCTATAAAGAAAGTATGTAATTGTGATAAAACATTGGCTGCATTGAGTGAGGTTATCTGTACAAATGCTGGATTAACAGAACCGCGTGTGTCGTACAAGGATAAAGTATATTATGAGTACCTTGAGCCGCGCTGGACGCCATTTTGTTTTTTATGACAGCTGAACGATTGATGACCATTACGGATTGATTATTCGTAACTCAGTTATCACGATTGTTATTCAACTTGTTTAATGTTGATTGTGATGTATATTGCCAATGATGCCACTTTACATGTCTTAGTAGTTTTCTTCTTAAATTGTTTATGTGATTATCATGTTTGTGATATATTGGTATTAATAATGGTTAAACATTCGTAGATTGTGATTTGATATGAAATGACATGGATTGGCACCTTATTTAAAAACACTAGCTATAATTCATTTTGAAGATAGAAAAAGTGATCTAAAACAGAAGGAGCAATATGGAAACACACATTTGAGGATTTCTTTTTAAAGGGTTACCATTAAAATGGCTTGTTTGTATTAGGTCCACGGTTCGTCATTCGTTTAAAAAGTATTAATCTAGGATACAAATTACAGTACTCGTAAACTCTGTCTCCCTTTAATATGGTCTTAAAAAGTGACTTTAAATGACAGCGGATATTTAGTCTAGTGAGAATAATATCTTTTCTTGTAAGGGGGTAGTAGAGGCAAGTGCCTCTCCGGAGCATTTTGCTACGAGTAATGTATTTGTTGAATCCCATTCAAATCCTAAAGATAATTCGCTCATCCTACCCCCACCTCCCCCCCCCCCCTTCCATCTCTCTAAACAGGGGAGTGAGGGCACATTATTTGGCATCCAATCTGGACGTAGGTATTTGAGAACATTGAGGCATTTTAATCGTATTTATATGTCAATGTCGTAACCATCAATTTGTCATTATCTGTACATAAATCTATTGTATAAAAACGAAAGTATATGTTCAAAATATGTAAATACATGTGTATCATACTGGTTTTATTCTTTATTGTGTTTTCTAAAATATGTGCCAAGTAAATGTATATTTAAACGTAATGACGAGACTGTTTTCGTATTTAACATGAACAGAAGTTTCAAATTAACATTTTTTGATTGTCAAGAACATTTTCTTTTTATGAAATTTAAAATGATTAATATATCTAGATAATGTTAAAAATGTGTTAATATTCTCATTTCTATTTTATGAAAATTGAGTATGTTTCTGTTAACTGATATGGTTTAAGCTTTGGCTACATAACTCTATCTTTTAACTTACAGGACGGATTTCGTTTGCTTTCTACGCCTCTGTGCACGGTTGCTTGTTTGTCATACGTGCAATTTTGCACAAAACGATATGCACCAATAATGACGGAAGGACTGCTTTGCGCAACACAATGGCGTTGACATTTAGTAATTTCCGTTCTTGATTACTCCACCAAAATCTTTTTAACACCAAGATAAAGTTATCTTGCACTAGAAACATTCAAATAACCTTGCAGTCTGTTGTAGGATATCCTATGATAAATACAATGTGGCACAGGGATATTATTTGTGTTGCATGCAGAGAGCGAAAATGAAACTAATCGTTTACAATATATTGCATCATTTGTTTTCATAGTGCACAAGTATTAAATCTATTATGATTTTACTTTTGTACTCGTCTTGTGAAACACTATTACCTATCCCTTAAATGTAAATTGCTTAACAATCTGTTCACCTTTGAGATATATAATGAAATTCAAAAGGGAATATCTTGTGTGAGATTGATGTAAATTTGCAATCGCGAAGTAGTATACTTCAAATCGTGTATAGATGTTATACATTAATGTCCATCTATGTACTACATAATTTATAATGATGCATACCCTAGATCTTAGGACTTTGGGGATATGCTATTCATATATATTACAAGTCCATACTTTAACCGATTTGAATTTAAAGGGGAAGTCCACCCTGATATTAATTAGGTTTTAATAGAGGCAGAATAATTAAAGAAACAGGTCAGTGTAATTTTCATAATTTTCTTATTTTTCATCAGATTTTGCTCAGAATTTCACCGATCAATTGCTCTTTTTTTTCTATCAAAATCTACTTAATATCAGGTGAACTTCCCCCTTTAATAATCTCCACCGACCAGACCAACGCAACGCGATCTCCCCCAACTTGATGCAAGCCGAAGATGGCGGGATTCCCCAATTTCTAGGCTCGGCGTACCTGTCCAACGAATCAGGGTATATGATTGGGAGAGTTTGGCCAACCCGGTTCGAAGTGGGCACAATATGGCAAATACTGCTGTGTTGGGCAAACACTACACATATTAGAATACACGCCTTGTTGTGACCAAGTGAAATAAGGTTGGCCAAGCTCTGTGTAAGACGGCTCTGGAACGGATTCGTGTATCACGCTATATTCGGCTTGCATCAGGTAGAGGATGTGAGAGATCGCGCTCGCGGAAGATGACAAAACTGCCCAGATTTGGGACTAATACCTCACTGCCGGATGGAAAGGTTTTCTTACCATCTTCATCTGTCTCCCTCCACGAGCTCAGCCAGTTTTCCATCCATATTCTTTACTTTATTGTCTGAAAAGTGTGATTGTACATCAACTAGATTTCTATGGATGATTGATTTATTGAAGATACGAATGTATTTACTGTATTTTAATAAAACCTTATGAAGAATTTAGCTAATTTTAAAATTGTTATCCATTTCTACTCCCACAACATTGGGTTATGTGTCAATCAGTACCTTTCGCTAAAGCCGTCAATTTAGTATAATTGTAAGAGTGAGCAATATAAAGGTTTTGGGACATAATTATTGACTAAAAGTAGAATATCATAGAAGGAAAGCCAACCTTTGCATGTTGGCTACTGGGCTTGCTTCGAATCATGGGGTCATCACGTCGGGTCAGGTGGTCGTGTGACACGACCTTTCTTGAAAGGAAAGCGGAAGATCATGTGAACATGAACTTTACATAGCGACCTTTCGTAGATTTGCCGTGGGGTTTTCATAAAGTGTCCGGTTAATAGGACCAGATCATTTGTAGATGAGAGAGTTTCTTTCACAAACATTAACCCCGACATTTCGTGAATAATGGGGAATGTTTCACAAAAGGGCGGGAAACGAGACCATCCAATCCGACGGCAGTATCCGATGATTCGAAGTAAGCCTCGCCATCGTATAGGATGTGGGTTCGGATGATTAAGAAAAGTGAAGCTCTGACTCTGACCTATGATCTTCAAATTTTAGTTATGTGTCATGTATGATGATGTCCAACATAATTCTTCAAATATTTATGCTATAGTGCAAGTGAACTTCTTCAAGTTTCTGATTGAAATCAACTCTCTATCTAACCATCATGTCCGGACACACAACATGTGTTCGAATCTGAACCCCATTCTCTGGCATTCATACCAATGCTGCCTTAGTGACTAGGTCACAGAAATAACCAGTGAATTCGACAGAACGGTTTATTAAAGTATATACAAATAACCAACTTTTGCAGGTGAAACAAATGCAATCACCCTAAGGTGGGTATATATTCCAAAATACAATATTTATATTCAAATTAGCGTATTATTTTATTTCGAAAATATTGATTCCTAGCTGTTTAACATTAAGAGGACAAGACTATGAATCAAATTGAGTCATATAAATCAGGAAAATTATTAATATATGTGTGTGAGTGGGCGGGATGGGGGGTATCACTATTGCAAAACATGCTTAAACTCAAATTGACTCCAAATCAACTCAAATTAACTCCCGCCGAAAAAGAACCGCGCTATTTTAATACAAAATAATGACTAAATCTTGAGGCTCAGGTAAGCAAAAAAGACATCAGATTATACTTTATTGAGGCTCTCACCCACCAACGAAGTGAACCACCACAAAATGGTCTTCAGCACGTATAAAATACATTTATATATACAATATCTGACTTAGTCTGAAAAATCCATTTCAACCATAGCTATATGGCTCGTTCAGCATTTGTTTCCATTGTTCAATTAATCTAAAATAAACTAGGAATTACAATTCTAGATAAAGGTCTTTTTATCTATTAAACAAATCTCCAAAATGCCCCTTGGTATTTAAAAAGAAAAACTTTTTGCATCAAAAGCACATTCTTATGAACTTCGTGTAGTTAAAACTTTACTGTGAAGAAGATCATGATCGATCATGATCGCAAAGACTTTCGAAAAATCAACTTAAGGGTAATTCCAATCATCTATATCCCATAGAGACCATGTTCAGTCAACGCGATACGGCACTGTAATATTCGCAGATCCCAATAGTTGATGGAGAAGGCAATAGGAATAGTAATGATATTAACAATATTTTGCTCTTGTATGGCACATATCACGTTAAGATACGATGTCTCTAAGTGCGATCAAAGGCCATTGGACATTCTTTTCCCAGAAATTTGCTAATATTTCTCGAAAGTTTTTGAAATCGTGTTGATCTCGAAAATGTCGTATCGAAAGCCTGAAGGGCTATAAGCGATACGAGTTTACTCCCCTACTTAGGTGAATATTTATGCCAATACAAAAAAAAAAAAAAAAAAAAAATCAAAATTCAATCTCATCCTCATTATATGTTTTGTTCATCACGTACGGACATCTTTCTTCTTTTCTATTTGTTTTCCTTTTGGGAGGGGGGAGGTGGCTGAAAAATAAATAAAAATCTTAACAACCGCTGAAGACAGTTGACCATTGTACAGATTTCAGGCTTTTTGAGAAATGCGGGAAAAGAAATAGCGTCATCTTTGTTACTTAAAACGATGGTTTGTTAGAAATGCATAGGGAATATAAAATATAGTCCTATCTTTATCTACACATCATTTGTATTTTAAGAGCACATTGAATACAAATATGTGAGTTAAACTGAAAAACCGTTGATGAATTACACAAATCCATGAAAAATGCTAAAGAACATATAAACACAGCTAAGAGTTGAAATTGGTATCTTAAAACTTGAATTATTTGACGTTAATTCTTTACACTTTCAATTAACCCGAATAAGGAAATGCACATTCCATTTTGTCAATTTAAAGCCTTGTTAAAAAAAAAAACATCTACAAAATACACTATGATTGGTCAATGTATGTCATGATAAGTTTAAATCAACGATAACATTTGATACAGGTAGAAAAAATGTTAAGTGTAGCAGTATTATACCAAAATCTCTTCTTCAACTACATGTACATTTCGTTTTATTAAACATTTATTTATAAGCATTTATCTCAATACTGTTAGATATGGGGCCAAAATGCCCTCTATATGGGGGAGGCGGAATGCCCCTCGCCGGAACGCCGTAGGCCCATTGAATTTTTCTCAAAGAGTCATTTAACATTGAGGCGTACAGCATGTTCACATTGGGCTCAACATACCACTGTTTCGTTGTATCTGTTTAATGACATGTCAGGAAAAAGTAAACTTAGTAATATACGCCATTCATGGAGTCTTGAATATACGTTTATGTCACCATGGTAACACAGTACTTATAATGGAAATACATTTTAAGATTAGTCCCATTAATATTATCTGAACAAATACATAAACATAATAGCAGCACAAAAATCCACTAAACCGCTAAAAAACCCACGAAAGAACAAACATGCAGAAAACGTCTGCTAGATATTTATAATTATACAGAACAAAGCTTTTATACTGTAAGAAAAAATACACAATTTGGGATATTTCAAGTTGAATTATTGCATCTCATGTAGATTTGTTTGATTACAAGAATTGTGGATTCGTTGTTCATGTTTGTCATGCAAGTATGCAAATACTCCTGTGCTCAATAGCAACATAAACACTGGAGGCCAAATTGTAAATATATTATATAGAATACAACGAACAGAAACGCTTTTTCAAAAAAGAATCAGCCATCTTGTAAAAGCGGTTGTGGTATAAAAATGGTGCGAGTGAAAACATGAAAGTACAACGCTGCAAAATCATATTTCATTTGATTTGAATATCTCCACATGTGTCCGACACAAAAAGCGTAATCGGGGTTCTCAAGACTGAATATAAAACTAGCGAATAAAGAAACAATACACTAAATATCACAACTGCACCGTCAAAAGTGAACAATTAAATCAGACAGGATACACATTTACACTCTTCAATGTGCACGTATTAACATACAGTAACCCAGAATAAAAGGTTCGCTCTAACACACCAGTCCTAGCAGGACACAAGCTAGGGTGAAATGTGAAATTTTTGTCTTATAGTGTGCATAGGCCTAGGGGCACAATTCATAAGGGGCTGACGTCATTAACTATCATTTTGTTACCAGAATTTCAAACTTTTAACTACCAAATATTGTGATCGATCGAAGAAGGTGGTTTAAATTCTAGATATTGTAATGTTTTTTTTCAAAACAATATCCCCCAAAGTTTTTAAAAAGTTAAAATCAGACCACCTCGCTGCATAGATATGTGATGGCGGTTGCCTGAATGATGGTAGTTTTTTGTTTTCAAAATTCAGGGCGGCTGCAGCCCCCTCCGACCCTTGCGTCTCTTATTCCCATATTAATGTGATAACATAATACCCGGGATCAAATTAAATGAAATTCAAAGTGCAAATCATTATCATGGAAGACACATCACCGATGGTTTGAATTTCAGACATTTAATGTATTAGACTGCATTTGTTAAACAATTTAAAGACGCTTTTCTGCAAACGTTGGCACAATCTTAAGATAAACGAGTGGTGATTTAAATTACAACCAACCATCACTCTGATCATGTGCTGATCACATTTAAAGAGTTGTCGTTACAGAGAAATAAACGATTCAATCAATGTGGAAGCAGTAAAATCAGAAAGTAGAAATAAATGATTTGACGAATCTGACAAACAAATTAATTAAATATTTCAGTGACAGAGGGTGCGTGGTGTCATACGATTGGAACTGCAGAAAAGTAAACGCAAAATATCTCAATTTCTACATTATAGGGGAGTATCTACTTACCTAATCTTATCTTATCTTAGCTTGATTTATCTTCTTTTTGTTAATATAATTAATCCTCCACCTTGGGACAATTGCAGGAATACTACAATATACATGACATTTTACTTTCTGATGCATGTACATCCACTAAATATATTTGGTAAATCATCATACCCACGGATAAATGTATACGATGTTTAGAATACATTTTGATCATACAATTCCGATCATAACAGGATAATTATTTGCTTCAAGAAGTGACTCGTAATCATTCGAATTTATAAAAGAAAATGACATCAAGCAAATGGAAATAAATGCATAGCAAATCACTGCCCCATCAGTTCATCCTACGAAAGTATTCTACTTCCTTTACAAATGAAATAAGTTTCCGACTTAATTACGAGATTTTTTCCTCGTTAACCGTTGCAGGTCTACAATTAAAAGTTTAATACAAAAATACATAGATTATGAGTTTTTTTCACATGAAAGCATGCATGTTCCAATAAAACATCATCGAAACAGGTCTCTAGAAATATATATGACATATTTAACTTCGTTCAACTTTGATAATCTAGCACACATGGCATGCTAGATCAAACAAAAACCCGCTAGACCGTATAAGAGGCTGCAGTGCACAGCACCACAATGTTTTGCGAGTCACATATTCTATATATTTATAATATATATATATTATAATTGATTTGAAGGCTTATCTCGCAATCATGGTCCACAAGTTGTTCACCAGCTCCGAAAGAATCCTGTGACTTTAGGCAGATAAAAGAGTTTCACAGTATCATACATCTGGTTATAGAAATCATGGTGTCCGTCCATTCTGTCCGTCACCTTTACACCTCGGTCGTTCTCGTGCTTAATTCTACACTTTCCATGAGCGGACACACAACATCGACCATATCATCATCCATTGCAGTGTTGTCGCCGATATCTCCGTTCATTTTGTACGAGTAGTTCTCCACCTTAACCTCCGGGATCTCCTCGATCTCGGGTGTCTTTGAAACTGTACTTGCGCCACTTCCAGGCCGGTACTTGACAGCCAGGCTGCCGCCACTACTGCAGCTACTTCGCTGGCTTCCTCCAGGCGTTGAGCCGTTGCCGATGAAGTTTGGGGATTTCTTCAGCAGGGGGCAGCCTTGGTCACCGCTGCTTATCCGGTTGTTGACGGGTGCGGTGACGGTACAGGCTTCGGTGACCGTTGTGGTGTTTGCGTAGCGCCCTCTAAAATCACTGTCTCTACGCCACCAGTGGTGAGCAAACCACTTCCGCCTTACTTGCATTTTGACCTTTAGGGAAAGAAGATAATAAACAAAACTATTCTACGGGCCCTGACCATCCTCAATGTAGGATACCCATCATTCATGAAGTAGCAAACAGAACGAAACGTGCACTGCAAATTCGTTGTGTAACGACTTTACACAACATTGGGTGGTTTACTGCTTACACAGGGGTTGTGTTAAGTTGTGTAAAAAAAGATTTACACAACTTTACACTGCAAATTCGCCGTGTAAAGTTGTGAATGTTTGTTTACACAACTTAACACAACCCCTGTGTAAAAAAAAAGTGAACCACACAATGTTGTGTAAAGTCGTTACACAACGAATTTGCAGTACATAGAATCAAAGGAGTGTACAACTTTGTTTCCTATATCAAACTACACTGTTGGTTATAATGGTGGAATATTTATTTTTACCCCAATTTATTGAATGATTTTGACAATGATTTATTCCTAATAGATCTAGATAATAGTATACATTCTCAGATTTTATTAAATGACAATTGGGGAGTTATGAGAAATAAATCATTGTCAAAATCATTCAATAAATTGGGTTAAAAATAATTATTCCACCATTCTGACCAACAGTGTATTTACCTAGTCTCAAAGGATACCACTCAAAAGTTGCCGTTATTTGGCCTGTCAAGCAGCCATCTATTTCATTATCATTTAGAACAAATCATTTTACTTAACTACACTAATATACAACGCAACAACAACCGAATGATACTATATGAAACATAAAATGTCTATAAAAGATGAATGGATGAATATCTAGCATGATGACTATATAAATGGATGGAATCTACTTTGATGAAAATAAACCGAAAACTTACCAGTAATAGATATAACTTAATGTCATGGCTAACTACATAGAATGAACGACTATTGAAGCCATGGTAAACGTAAACGAAACGAAACGTATGAAAGCAAAGTAGTACTTACTAGAAACATGGAATAAAAACAGAAACTTAGACGCACACCTCTCTTTTCACGGTCAGCTAAAAAAAGGACAGCACGGATGAAAGGTTGGGAACATGTAGTGAACAGAAAAATCTGAAAGTTGTTCAGTACCAAGATTCTTATAAGAAAGAAAGCAAGCAAGACAATGGAGGAGGAACACTCGCATGCTGTCACGAAGAATGAACGATTCACAACAAAGCAACGTGCAAAACATGCCGGTAAAGCTTCTACATACCACCCTAATAAGACCGAGGCAACTTTACCTTGGTGATTATGATCTTAAGACTAATTCCTATCTATGATACCGTCACCAAAACAACTCCAGCTTGATGGTTATACTCTAGAGACAATTACATAAATCGGATGTTTTCCGTACAGTCAATAACCCCTCAAGGCTCGTTTAGATATGACGAGGCAAAACCGAAGCGTTTTTCTTTTTTTTTCTGTTTGATGATGACGTAAAATGCAATAACGCTTCAAATATCTAAATCTTATAACACATAGCTCAATAAAAACGCGGAATTCCACCGAAAGAAATTCGAATTTACACCCTAATTGTCAGATTTTGGAAATTTGCTGCTGGTGCCACCATGAAGCATTCCTGGCACCTTCGAATGGTTTGCATTTAACACTACTCTAGGCATGAAATCAAATCAAGTTGGCAGGACAGACCTGCTTTTGGAACGCTTCGATCGACATAGAATGTAACGATAACTTTACATTCTTGCGATTAGTTGAAGACGAACATTATAAAAACATTTATGTTGGGCGCAGAGTTTACGGACAGATGTCTTGAAATAAATCCATGAAAACCACATGGAACTATGAATTAAACGACAGCTTTAGAGTGAAAAATCTATTCTGCACAGCTACTGCTAAAAGTTTTGAATTTCTTCCTCTAATATCTTTATATTTCCGCATCTTTAGCACTACATTTTCCAATTTTCATTTGATTCCGATGTCGTTTGCAACTATGTCGTCGGTTGAGTCCCATATGTAACATGTTATATTCAGCCAGTGCTTCAAAGCAAAAAAGGAATGACAGATAAACAAATTATGAAAAAAATATTTCAAAAAACTAAGTGAGAGGAATTGTGCGTGATTCACATAAACGAATGTAGTTGAGTAATTACTTCAGAGCAAACACACAAACAACAATTGAGCCATGCACATTGCATTGTGGGAGTCGCAAAGCACGGATGTATAGTCAAGGTAAGGATGTTGCAAAGTGGAGACGGGAGATTGCGAGATTGCAGGGGGCGGGGAAGGGGGCGGGCTATAGAGTATATAATTTGGACGCAAACGACGAGTAGTGATTTCTCTGCAATTTTAAGAGAGAGAGTGTGTGATCTTAGTGTGTTGTTTAATTACCGGACCGTGAACTAACTTTGGTATGACGGGGAGGGCAGGCGGCCGAACCGAGAGAAGAAGAGGTGTGTGTCAGGGCAAAATTATTGATGCACCTAGACACGGTTTGCATTACCTCGCCGTTGAAGAAGCAGAAGATGCAAGCAACGAACAGACCCTGGAGAAAGAGAAAGGGGAAGATAAGAGATGTAGGAGGAAGAGGGAGAGGAGAGGTGAAAAAAAAATTGTGAGAGAAGAAGTAGAGAGGGGGAAGAAAGAGAGAGAGAGAGAGGTGGATAGAGAGAGAAAGGGGGAGAGGGGGAGAGAAAGAGAGAAAGAAGGAAAAATGGACAGTGCAGAAGGGAAAAGAAGCATATTAAAAGAGAAAACAACATGAGAGTTAGGAGACGTGTAGGAGGAATGTGGAAAGGAGAGGGGGAAGAAGGAGAGACGGGGAAGAAAGAGAGAGAGAGAGATAGAGAGAGTGGGAGAGGGGGAGAGAGAGAGAGAGAGAGAGAGATGGGAAGGCAAGGTGAGAAAAGGCCATTCATAGAAACAGAGAAAGACATAGATATATGGGGATTTTCAAAAAACGGTAGAGAATAACACAAATATTATGTTAATCAATGTTATGTATTGTGCCAGAATTCATATACAATAATATTGTGTTCGTCCACTATATATTTGTCCTTGTTTTTACGAAGTGACGGTAGTGAATGAAATTTACATACAATTTGCGTGCGGATTTTCCTCACTACCGTCACTTCGTGAAAACCTATCGTTGCATGGAATATTTTCGATACAGGTAATCGAGCGATGGAAGAACTTGATTTATTTTAATTTAATTTTAATTAAGGAACTTTACAAAACTATCTTGATCTGAGGAGACACGAACGAACGAACGATCCGTGATATGAAATGTATCTATCGGTGGGCATAACTAGTTTATCCTGTACCTACTGCTTTGCGCTTTGGCGCCATCTACGGTTGATCAAACTTCACGGTGTCGTAATGAATATAAATGAACATTTTATTAGTATTATTATTAGGAATCGTAACAACTTACTTGGAAAGAGAGAATGACAGCCATTACGTAAGAGTAGATATCCGCAGCGAGTCCTGGGGGAGGGGCGGCAGGTAAGATGATATAATGAAGACCAAGGAGGGGTAGTAGGATGAGGGTTGCCCGTACGGCTCGTCTGTAATGAGAAGAAAGAGACAGGAAAATAAATAAATGGTTAAATTTGGCAGCATTTAGATGCACCCAGGTATTCCTGGAGGTATTTGTTAAATTGGTTAATTCCATTTTCCAATAGATAAAGGAGTATAACAAAGGCATACAGATGATTGCACAAAATTGTCACAGACATCAGTGAGCTGCCAAATGTGATTTATAAAAGTAATTAAATACAATCAAGACAATTATTGTAGGTCCGAATCGCTTTGTTTTAATACAATTCGGTTTGGAAATAGAAGGATGTTACATAATTCCATACCATCGAGCCTGAAACCTTAAAAAAACGTACACTCAAGTCGAAGGCAAACAAAGCATTACTTTTAAACAACTACAAAATAATATTTAAAAACATTTGTTGAAACTTGGTGACTTACGTATAGTTCTTTGATCCTGCCATCGGTGTCGCTCGTAGTTTGGTCACCAACACTCTTACAATGTTTAATAAGAGAATAAGATTGACCTGAATGAAGGAATGAGATAAAAAAAAAAAATGATTTGAAGTAAATCCCTATTTGACAAAATATTATAATGTATGTATTATGAAACACTACCAATTTACAAACATATGATTTTCGCTAGTACATGTGTTATACATCATTTCATATATAAATTATACTTTGACCATACTGTGGACATGATGCTAACGACATGTTTCTTTAAAACATACATTACACTACTACGCATATACGATGTATTCCCTTATTGTGTTCTTGAAAATAAAAAATCTCACCGCGAGTACAAAAATGACGAATCCAGCTATCAACCACTCGAACGGTGTACCTCCAACCCAGCATCTAATGGAATCACATGCAGGAGAGAGGGAGGGGGGGGGGAGAGAGAAAAGGGAGTGTTGGAGAGAGAGAAAGAGAAAGAGATGAGAGAGAGAGAGAGAGAGAGAGAGAGAGAGAGAGAGGGAGAGGGAGAGAGAGTGAGAGGGGAGAGAGGGGGGTGGAAGAGGGGGAAGGGAAAGAGAGGAAAGAGAGGTGTGGGATTGGAGAGAGAGAGAGAGAGAGAGAGAGAGAGAGAGAGAGAGAGGGAGAGAGAGGGGGTGGAAAAGGGGGAAGGGAAAGAGAGGAAAGGGAGGTGTGGGGTTGGAGAGAGAAAGAGAGGGAGATGGGGTTAAAAAAGAGAGAGACAGAGAGAGACAGAGAGACAGAAAGTGAGCGTTATTGGATTACTATCCAGGTCAAAGTCAGCATCTCGATAATTCGTAAACTGAGGGATCACGGAATCGAATGTATGCGATATCCTTGGCAATGATAATGAAAAATGCCCATTTATTTGTATTTTTTTATCTTAATACTTGTTATATAAAGAAGTGAACGAATGTGAATGGCAAGCAGCAATGACATAACCAGTCGTTATACCATTATGTTCGAATCTGAACAGCCTGCATTCGGAAGAAATAGGCCAATAAAACATGTATCATTGCCAACGACTGATTCGTATAAGACGCACAATGATTCCGATTGTATTGTTTCTTATTCAACAAAACAAATCTAGTTGGATAGAAGGTTTATTCACGAAATGTCATATTGCATACTCTCTGCAACAAAACAATTATCTTTCATTTTATATTTACTCGATGTATTCTATCATAAAGATAAAGGCAATGCATTATATTAAAATGATCAGACAAAATTATTAATGATGTTATGAATCAACCATTTCCTCTAGCTGATTAGGACTACTACAACTCATTTGGAAACAAGATAATATAAGTTTCCAGATTGCTGAATTCTTATTTTAATTTGATAAATACTTACGGACCAGGCGGATAATGTGCCACAAATCCTGCGTACAAACAGGCTGGAACAATCGGTATCGCTGTTGGAAAAAGATACCACAACAACACATTTATTTTCACAGGTGAATAGGTTATACAGTACACGCCGAAAATCTCCGCAACACGATTACACGATTTATTTTTAGGATTACACGGTTTACACGATTCACCTGAATCGTGTAACTGTGTAATCGTGTAAATTTACACGATTGAAGAATGTCGCTCTGAATCGTGTAATCGTGTAAATAGTTAAGTGCATTGGTCGGATGATTCGACCAGATGTAACAATCGTGTAACTGTGTAATCGTGTAAATTTACACGATTGAAGAATGTCGCTCTGAATCGTGTAATCGTGTAAATAGTTATTAGGGTTATAAGGGCATTGGTAGAACGATGCGACAAGCTGCAACAATCGTTAAATCTTATCCTGCTGACACCAATTGCTTTATACACAACTTACCTTCAGTGTACATCAGTTAATTACTGTACTTTATATTCGTGTATAAACCTCAGCACTTTCCACTAACATGTATCGTATACTAATCCGTGAGACAAGGTAGGAAAACGTCAGAAACAGGAAGACATGATAGATGAAATAGTAAAGGAAAAAAGATAGCTACGAGGAGAAGGGAACATATAAAAGGAAAATGAGGGTTGAAAGGCACGATAAAGATAAACAGAAAAAAAGAGAGAAAAAAGGGAAAACTAAAAAGTTGACCGGAAGAAAAGAAAAAGTGAAATAGAGTGATAAAAAAAAGAAGGGCGAAACCTAGTAAAATTAACAGAAATGAGAAGGCTATGAAACGGAGAGGAAAAGAGACAAATTAATAAGGTAAGAGGGGAACATAATGAGGGAAAGAGAGGCGAGAAAGATATGGGGGAATGGAAAGATATTGAAAGAGAGAGAGTGAGAGAGAGAGAGAGAGATAAAAAAAAGCTTTAGTTGAAAGAAAAGGGGCACCGATCAGATTTTAATAGGGGCATTTATCGGAGTTGATGGGGGCATTTATCAAAAGTGAAGAGGGGTACTTCTCGTACTTAAAGAGGGATACTTGCTAGAGATTAAAAGGACACTAATGAGAATGGAAAATGGACACTTATTGTAAAGGAAAATAGGAACTCGTCGAAGGAAAAGGGGTGTGTGTCAAAAGAAAAGGAGCTCTTATCAGAGTTGAAAAGGGGAAGGGGCACTTACAAATTAATAGGGACACTTGTCAAAGTAAAATAGGTACTTTTCCTACATACAAAGGGGCACTTTGGGGGAACTTGAAAAAGTGGGGGGACACTGTGCCGCTAGCTAAACGTAACTCAAAGACAGTTGGCCATTCACTTATTCTATTCATTCTCGGCTTGCAACTGTTCCTTACACTCTGTAGCCAGTGGCTTACATACTTACATACATGTAATACCTATTGTTCAGGGGGATCCTATGTTCAAGGGGAACCCCCTGAACAATAGGTATTATGTAAGGATCTCTGCCTGTAGCTAGGGCAACGGCCTTTGTCCCCGGCGAGGGTCAATGGCAGGCCACATTCAGAGTAAGCTTCTTTTGTATGTGACAGGAAGTGTGCCCTTAAGCCTTGACCGTAGCTCTTTATACATATAGCTGAATAATGCAATGTTGTAAAAGGTAATTTACGAAAATAAGGAACGCTAAAAAAGCAATAAGTGATCAAAGTCTAAGGCCCGAATTCACAAAGGAGGTTTGTCGACAAACCTTGGTTTTCGTGCGTCATATGACGCGTTTTTACAAACCAGGTTTGTAAAATGGATAATGATTGAATAAAAAAAAGTATAACGATATTCATAGTAACGAATGAGCTGGTGAACCGTAATTCTAATTGGTACAGCCTTGTAATGTAAGAGTATCACAACATACTTAATTATGTTAGCCCTCCTTTACATTTTGTAATCATTTTTACTTATTTACAACTTAGGAATAACAAAATCCCCCCCTTCCTTCGTCGTTCATCGCTTTTTTCTTTTTTCTTACCGAGGATTAAATCCGAGAGTGCTTTTCGGGAAGTGGACTGATTTTTTTAACTTTCAAACATTCTATAATAAAACTAGAGACAAGACACTGCAATTAAAAATATATACAAGAGAAAGAAAGCGTAATCTTCGCTATCCCCTCGTATCGTCCACGTTGTCCTCGTTCAACCAGGAAGTAACTTCTTGCTTTTACTGAACTAGACGTCCTTAACCTGCTCACCATCACCACTGAAAATAAATTGTAACACAATTCCAGCGAGCAATCGAATCGTGTAAATTTTGAATCGTGTAATCGTGTTGCGGAGATTTTCGGCGGGCAGATTACACGATTACACGATTCGACCTGAATCGAGGAATCGTGTAATTTTACACGATTACACGTTTACACGATTCAAATTTCGCTTCATTGGCAAAAAACGAATCGTGTAAAAATAAATGGTTACACGATTCCCGCGAGCAGTCGAATCGTGTAAATTTTGAATCGTGTAAATCGTGTTGCGGAGATTTTCGGCGTGTACTGTAAGTTTGTGAAGAATTATTTGTGATGAAACATGGGAACACCATCAAGATTATGATGATTATTTAAAGCCTTGTGTCATCGAAACCGGCGCCTAGTTCGTTGTAATGCAACACAATCAAGAAGACAAGAATTCATCGTAAAGGCAATTATAATACCCAGTTATATAAAGAAATTATGTGTGGATATGTGATGATAAATATGGCATTGTAATGTTCATGTAATTTCAAAAGGCGACCCCAAAGGCTCTTAAGTTGATTATTCTGAAGGTCTTTGCCATTGTGTTGAATTGCAATTCACTATAATTGGATAATGCACGAGTTTGTTATCAAATTATATCTAAATCGTTTTGTCACTGGTTACAGGTCCGAATATTTACGAAATGACATTTCGAGGGAAGTGTCACGTGAGGAAAATGTCGTGCTTTCAATTTAGTTTCATATTTCATATTTCACATTTCATATCTACAGTACGCACTACGGCAAGACTAAAATGGAGTTGTTACACCCTTACCCCACCTATGTAGAGACCCCCCCCCACCTGTTTTTTGTATTTCCCTCAAGTCGTCGCGACATACAGACGAGGAAGGGGCGCTTGTCTAAGTCATTTCACACTTATACCACCCCTCCCCTTCTTTCCTGAAAATTCTAGCCCTGCCCCTGACTATACCTACCCCAACCGATGATGAAGTAAGGAACAAGCTGATGGTTTTCTGCTGAGAATACAGCCACTACGATGACAGTGTGTAGATAAAGACCCTCACTCAACATCCAAAAGTAATTGCAGAGCTGGAAATACTGCTTTAAGACGTTATGGACCTTACAGTATACCTAAAAGATAACAAAACAAAAATATATATATATATATGTTTTTACAAATGAAATATAGCGTCATCTAGTGTAATTAGAACGCACTATACATGGATAGATATATGTATAAAAATAACATAAAATTAAAGTCATTGTATTGTTAAGAAACTGTCTAGACAACTTTTAAGTTTTTGGAAAAAATATTATTTTGTTGTATATCATTATGTGCAAGAAAAGTTTAAGCTATCAAATATCCAGGACGAATCCATTGCACTGTACCTATATATGTTTTGTTTTTCTTCAGAGAAATGAAGAATCATTCGCTTTTCTTTTGCTCTACTCTCTTTGAATCTGATATGAACTTTGTTTTGTAACCTGCTTTCTGCACGTATACAAACTAATGTGCGCAGACATGATATAATATACATGTTTATAAATATATAATATCAAGTTTAAATCATTTTTATTGTAAAGAAACTGTCTAGGAGCCAGTGAATTTTTTGGGAAAAGTCGATCGTGTTATATATTGTAATGTGAAAGTTGTAAGTTGAAGCTTTCAAATTCCAGGACGAATCCATTGCACTGTACCTAAATATATTTGTTTTCTTCTTCAGAGAAACAAAGAATCAATCCCTTTTCTTTTACTCTACTCTCTTTGAATCTGGTATGAACTTTGTTTTGTAACCTGCTTTCTGCACGTATACAAACTAGTGTACGCAGACGGTATTAATGTAAGAATGTAATCCATAAAATGACCCCACGGGAAAGTGTTATGTTCTGATCATAGACAGTTCTATGATTGGATTTATCAGAAAAATGCAAGATAAATTACAACATATATTGTCTTCTAACTTTCAGATACATTTACAAAATGAACATGGTCGATTTCGAACATGATTTGAGCTTTATTTCATCTACTCCATCAAGCATGTGCACGATCGATCATGTTGATGTAAGCATTGGGAGTTTATCATCAGCAAGGTAGAGTGGATGGGAGACAACTGCGTCCCTCCCGAATAATAGATACGTTAATATATTAATTATTAAAATGATTTAGTGTGGATAATTTAGGCATTTTATCAGGTCACTTTACATATTGTTCTCCCCGAATTTGGAATTTATTTCAATATAGGCTTTCGTGATAGTTAGAAAATGGATGGAGGCATCATTATTTTGTCTGTATTGTAAAGGAAAATAATACCGCCGCCATGCGTCCGATCATTTACTTGGGATGTCGCCGATCATTAACAAAAATGATTATGTTTATGTCCCTCGTACGTTGCATCAGTAAAGCCAGGGGGAAAAAATAGGTACAAAGATAGAATGTTAGCTCAAATTTTACAACTTGATGCAGCTGTTTCCATATTCCTAGACACATTTCCGAGACATTTCCCAAATGACACAAACTGATTAGCAGTAAAGATGAAAATTCTCGCGTTTTGTGCAACGACGTGTGACATAATGGCAACTGGATTATAACAAGGACCTTTTCATTTCCTTTGTTTCCAAGATATGGGTCATTACAGAATTTAGTCATTTTTCAAATTCGTTCCGTGCAGAGTTAAATTTTCAAAAGGCCATGGGCGCTTGTTATACATTCCATTTTCGTAATGTAACATATAAAGGTGCACAAATGTTTGGTAGGTGCCTCGTATCAAGAAGATTAATTCATCTGTTATCAAGCATTGTATTGTTCCGTGCTTTTAGGTAGGACAAGCCATATTTTGTGTCTAATTTATGCAATTCGCATTCTGACTATTGAAATACAATCACTTGCAAAAGGTGAATGACATTATTTCTAACGAGGCACTTCAACAAAGATGTGTGCAATAATTTGATTACATTACGAAAATGGCCTATTGCTCTAAAAACTTCAATTTCGCAGCTAAAAGCGCAATCGAAAAGAATGCCTTGTGTGCAGCGGGTATTGTGAATGCAGCGGGTATTGTGAATGCAGCGGGTATTGTGAATGCAGCGGGTATTGTGAATGCAGCGGGTATTGTGAATGCAGCGGGCATTGTGAATCCAGCGGGCATTGTGGATGCCAAGAGAAGAAAATGATATTCCTACCCCATCGTTTTGGATGACGTCCTTGTTGCTGGCTACCAGAGCGAAGAAGGTGATTTGGAAGAGAGCGTCGAAGATGAAGGAAAAGAACAAATTCTTGTGGATTGTTACCCTTGGGCAGCTCAACGACCTGATAGTAAGGAGGAATTGGAGTTTAAAAAATGATAATAGTAATGATAATGGTTAAACATCTTGTAGAATATTGGTATCTACCCAAAGGCGCACAAAGGCAATTTCGTAAGTAGTAAAATTATGGCGCTGACTGTACCAAAAATAAGTATGTGATTTCCAGACTAGACAATCATAATAGTGAAATCCAACTTTGTACACTGATTAAAAGTAACCATACTTTAATGGAGGGGCACCTGTACATCATTGATTTAACAGGATAATTCGATTATGTAATCATGAAAGACTAAATAATAAACACCTCATCATAATGCGTGCATATTTCTACATTTGAATCACAAGACTATTGAAATAGAACATTTTCGGATTGTAATCAAATTTAATGCACAAATCATTGCTATTAAGTGCTTCGTTACAAACTATATCATTCACCTTTTACGAACAATTGTATTTCAATAGTCAGAATGCGGATTGCATACATTAATTGTTGCTAGGTAGGACAAATAATATGGCTTGCCCTACCTTAATCATGACAATATGTAAATTCCAATTCGCATTCTGACTATTGGAATGCGATTATTCGTGAATGGAATAATTTGTACCGGGCATTTAACAAAGATTCGAAACTAGTCTATTACCTTAAGTTTATTTCCTGAAATTAGATGCTTTCTTGGTACTGAATTATGTACAGGTCATATGGATCCCCGCTCAATCTTATGAGGGAATATCGCTAAGAGGGCAATCTATTATGTACTGCAGGTGATTATCAAAACTGACATAATGTGTCATATAAGTGTAGTAAATGATACATACTTGAAGTTGAAGAAGATGAATAGTGCGATGGATAGTGCGATGATTGATATGCTGTAACCAACGTAGAACACAATCATCACATTGGTCTGCAAACATAGAAAACAAAGAGACAAAACAAAAACAAATATAGAGAAGACAAAACATTATCACATAGCTCTTCAATATGATAATCTGATAATAATAAGATTTTTAATATCTGATTAAGTATACCGCATACACATTATGATAAAATGTCCATATACGATTCTAAAAAGTTTTGGAAAGTATTACCACGACTAAGTCTAAGTCTGTGCGGGCAAGCACTGAATCCAATGACCGGGGTAATAGTATATATTTGTAAAGCGCTTAGAGACATTTGTATTAAGCGCTATATAAAAATTAAATATTATTATTATTATTATTAACTCTAGTTTTCAGCGCAGACTTAATTCCAAGGAATAATGCTACAATACAGGTACCCATTAACCTGACCTGGGTCAAATGATTCTTTCCCCAACATTACTCAATAATAAACAGCACAGTCGACAGAGAGCGGTCTACTATTTCATCGGAGTTGGGGAGGGGGAGGGGGTTATCAAAGTCTACAAACAGAGAGCGGTCTATTATCTCATTGGAGTGGGGGGGGGGGGGTAATCAAAGTCTACAAAGACTTGACAAAGTCAATGTACAAGTGCCCTTTATACATAACTCTCAGAAATATTCCATACATACTTACCTCTTTAACAGGTTGATAACACGTTGAGTAGTTGGTCCAAGTTTGGTTGGTAACGGTACTCACATACCACTCGCCGTTGGGCATGCATATTTTGGTCGCATTTCCTGAAAACAAAAATCAGAATTCGGAATTTAATAAGAACTTAAATGCTGTTATCACAGTAATATTTTGCCCACAGCCCATTAATACAGTAGCTTGTATCAGTAGCTTTTATCCCTTTTGCTTTTTAAATAGGCATGTCAGTGTACTAGAAATCAGGGCCCTCAGTGACAATGACATTGGACCCTTTTTTGATTTTTGACGGCCTCTTCAAGAGCAGGCAAGAAATATCAGCTCGCCAATCAAACATAATAAAATGGATATGAAATATCCACGATTTTATAAGAGAGAGAAAAAATTACATGTGTATACATTACTATTAATTACCACCTACGTAGCAATACAAATATTCACATGTAACAATAGCATGATGAACATGAGTAAAAGCATATTAAAAATTAACCTAAGCAATTTAAAATGAGTGAACATAACATTTAGGTATTATAAAATCCAAAAACGATTTATATGGGTATAAATAAAGTATTGAAATATTGACCTTTCGCTGATTTCTTGAAAGTCTTCGGGATGGCGGAATCATATGAAATCTATGAAATTATTATTTTAACAAGTGTACTCACGTAGTGAATCTGATGACGGTATCCACCAAGGACAGGGGTGAACAGCGACCTCACCGGCTCGGGTAAAATTCCAACAGTCCCAATAATCGAATGTGAGATTACAATACAACCCTGAAAAAAGAATTATGTTTCATCAATGAGCATACATATATCGTCACTAAAAACAAATTGTATTCCCCTTTCTTTTTACTAGGGCGTTCCCCCCCCCCATCCCCCTTCACTTAGGGACCACTAATCGATTCGCATTAAGCCAAATCTATATTGGTTGCTTTTAAATCACGGAGGAACATTTTGGGGTATACGTCAATATATCTTATATTATTTGATTAAACATCAGTAATACAAAAATTAATGCGTCGACACTTGGGAAAGATTTTGACGCGGTTTGTTCTTGTTGAATGTAGATAATGATGATGACAATAATAATAATTATAACGATGATTGAATTATGATAATGCTAATTATGATAATAATAATAATCAAGAATAGCATAATCATGTTAGTAACAATTATGATAATACATCACATTATTAGTAGCTGTAATCGTCTTGTGACCTTTACGATGTATACATGTATATTATTTTCGATGCATGGCTATATTTTATGTTTGATTGTTTTGGGGTGTTTTTTCTTTGTCTGTATACTCAAAATTATTTTACTTATTTTGTTTCTCTTGTTTTCGAATGTATATGTCTATTTGTGTATCATTGTAGCATGTAAAAACCTTGAATTTCCATTGTTAAATGGACAAAAAATATGAACCCAATGAACCTTATGAACCTTTGGCCTTGCCTTGAATTTTAAAACATTCCCGATAATATGTAGGTCTCCTTCTGGCTATGTATGTGAATAAGAACGTTAACTCCACTTTATGAGCTTACAATTCATTTTTTCAGTCTGCTAACACATTCCCAACATAATTGCAATGAGAAATGACACGTTCGGCAATTTCTTAAACGTGAGCAAATCCCATTATTGCGTATAAAATGCTTAACACTTATTGTTCAAACCTTCAGTGCATATTGCAATATTGCATGCGGTACAAATGTTAATAATGATCATGATATTGCAGGAAAGGCGGAATTGGTATATTAGTGGTGTTAATGTGGGTCAATCCAGTAGGGAGGAAGGGGTTATCATGGGTGGGGGTCGCTGGTCTCCAACTTCGAGAGAGGATTTGGATACCCCGTATTATGTTCTTTCCCCATCATTTTATCCTCTTCCCTTCTCCCCGCCTCTCCCCCTCTCTCTCCACTCTCGCTCTCTCTCTCTCTCTCTCTCTATCTATCTCTGTCTCTTTCTCTCCCTCGTCTCTCTGTCTCTGTCTCTCCCTCCTCTCTCTCTCCTAACACGCCCTCTCTCTCGCAAATCTTATCGTATTATCATTTAGGAGCACATACTCAATTGATCCTTGTAGCTGCCACTCGCAAATTTATGTAAATAAATATCGATATATATATATATATATATATATATATATATATAGGCCTATACATGCACCACTAATTTGCCCCATTTTCTAGCTCCCATTCCCCTTCGTAGTAATCAAAGTCCCCCAATGGGAAAACCGCACAAAAATATCATATATTGAAATTCCAACTCTTTGAAATTCCAGACAAACAAATTCATCAGTTTTCTTCTCTTTCACTCATTTATTTTCTCATTTGTTTATTGTCAAAATAAGGAACGTTATAACGTTTTAAAGTAGTTACCTTAGAGTCCAGATCAAGATAATTCATAGAATTGTTTCTTTACATTTAAACCCATTTCGTTGATGTACGTTTCATCAAATGAAAGAGATCGAAATCCCCTTTCTTTTAGATTGATACCCCAAGTCATTCATTTCTATATTGCTTCGATATTGACAATTCATGTGAAGCATAAACCATGACTCCGAACCCTCTTTGCTCTCTCAGTCATGCGAATTTCTAGCCGTCTTCTTTTGTGATCCATGAATTATTATGCCCTCCATTAGAATTACAAAGTGCACTTGAACTCATTAAATAAGTCGGAGGAGGAGGAGGCATGCATGTATCCTAAAATGCCTGCACTTTTATGTAGCGTGCGCAAGAAAAACTATGTAAATCAACTAGAGTACTCGTCACTTAGCGCACTTTGCATAAGAGAGAGGGTTAACCTTGTATAGAGAGAGACGTTCCCTGTTTTGGATTGAACGACACATGCTCCTGCATGCAACAATTGCACCGCGATCAATTCCCTTCACTGACCGAATTTCTTACTTCTAACCTGGAGAAATCGCTTTGCCTATTAAACCCCGTATCTTTCACATACACCTTCAACCAAAAATTAAACCTTACTGCAACCCTATAGCTCTATATATCTTTGAAAAAGTAAAGCTCGGGTAAATTGCCACCGGGGCAAACGGATGATCTGTCAATTTTGAGAAGATCTTCCTAGAATTAAAAAAAAATTAAGAAGGATAAAACTCATCTGGTAATGATGGTCAGGGGTTAAAGATCCTTTAAAATACCACTTGTCATCTTTCGACATCCCCCCTTTCCATGTAGTGATGCAAGCCACCCATGTCATTTTCGCATGGGCATAACTGTACATCATGCCAGAGAACAAGCTCTGTGTACTTAAGAATCATTCAAGTTCACTCTAGAAGGTCGAGGAGCATCTGTCAAATATAGACACATCTGATTATTTGCTAGGAAGGGACTTAAGGATTACATGGAAAATTGTTGCCACTATTTGTCAAGATTTCGAGATTTTCTTTTTCCTAGAACGCTGTAGATCACTGAGAACGCAATGCACGCCGCCAAAGCGATCGCAAAGACGTTCTGAAAAAAAAATTCCTAGGGCAATTTCAGTACCCTAGTATGAAATGTGCCAACATTACAATGAAATATGTATGCGACTAACACTTTAATAGGGTAATGAAATATCCCCTGATTTATAGACAATATTTGTAATCGGATTCTCCAAGCAAATACGAGTACTTGCTTAAAGAGGGAGGGAACAGAGAGTGTGGGAAGAACGTGATTTCCCATTACATTAATTGATTGGGTATCCCCACCCCCACCCCATACTGTTGATGCCCCTCCCCTCTGCTGCCTCATTACTTACCATCATTGGGTGAAGGTAGAATTCAGTGAGCTCTCGAAACATACATGCATAAGCATACGGCCAAGTCCAAGTGTTTATACCAAAGCTCTGCGTTTTTGTGCTCTATTCTGAAAAGAGGACAACCCCCCCCCCCCTCACTCCTCATCTTCACCCCAGCCCATAATGGATTTGCTCCCTCAACTCTACACCACTAGTTATCGTTATCGGGAGGTTGTTTAGTGAGTTCTCTGCAAAGTTTTCGCCGTTTTACTCCGCATCATTGTGCTCACCCCCCCCCCCCCCAGAAAAAAAACGGGCCATTATTATCTTCCCCAAGCTCCTACCCCCAAAACGCCAGGTTTTCCTTCCCCACTATTCAGAGTTCTTGAAAAACAGGGCCACCCTATCCCCGACTTTCCTCATCTGCAGCCCCCCCCCCCCCCCCATTAATGTAGGTGCCCATTCAGTGCTTAGGTACGCCAGTACTTACCGTCGTCCGGGGGCTGTTCCATGAGTTCTCGCAGCATACACTCATACGCTACGGCATGGTGTTTATCTCGTTGTTCTGCGTTCTTGTGTTCTACTCCGAAAAGTAGGTTATTATTATCATCCCCTTCTTGGAGTTCTGCCTCCTCCTCCGTTGCAATGGTCTGTGCTGAAATTTGGAGCTGGATTAAAAAAGGAGAAGATGTATTTACATAATAATGCTCATTAGAGGCCATTGCACAAATTACGATCAATCTGCAACTATTTTTGCTTTTGGGGGGTACTCAGGGTGATAGTAGAATGTGGGGCGGATTCTGGATTTGGTAAAAAGAGGGCCGTGCTGAGGGTGAGTTAAGTGTAATTTTTGCCGTGTAGTTACAAAAATGCAAGCCGTATGTGCCGACGTGTTTCCAAAGCATGGACGTGTTGCTCCCCCCCCCCCAGACCCCCCTCCCCATTACATTCGGATAAGGAAATCCGAGGTGCTGAATTTTAAAACTGCAAAATATCTAACACGTTATAGATGAAATAGTCGAACAAAGGCTACCATCATAACGAGAAACACTAGTTAAATAGTCACCTAGCTATTAAATATCGCACCCAAAACATGATAAAAAAAACACTCATATCAGGATGTGTTCAAGTTGGTGTGGATAGGAGGGGGAGAGGGTATTCGAGTGACATAGATCAAGAGTGTCTCCTAAGCAGAAGGCAAACATACAAATAAACAAACAAGGTAATTTACTCGCACACAAAAGGCAAAGTGGAATCGTCTGAATGACGCATTAGCAAAAGAATAACAACTGTCTTACTAAATCAACATGTATTATGAAACAACTAAAATGAATTATTTGATATAGGGAATACGAAACGAGAAATTATATATGGTAAACGCCATGCATCATGACACATTACCCGCCTCTGAAACCGACTCACTGATAAATCTAATTATAGAACATGGTTTCTAATGTTCCTCATCCTTCTCCCTTTTATAACTGTACTTTATCTTGTTGACGTCAGGTTTCCAGATTTTTACAAAATGATAAATGGGGGATGCGGACAGTAAATCATCACTCAAAAGAAAACAAAAGCAAATAGTTACCAACGACTACACAAATATAATGTAAAAGAAAAAACCAAGAGCAAAAAATGTACATGTGAATCGGATAAAGTGTAAAATATTGCAGACTGAAAATTGATACGGAAAATCTATGAAGGCAGCTTTCACACTTCCGAATACGAATGTTCTAATAGCATGAATGGTATTGGTGTGTCAAGTTGATTTGTATCCGATCTTCTCATTACAACTCATGTCCCAGCAAACCTCGATGTTTGTGTCCACACGTATCGCTACTTGATACATTATCCGTTTGGTTGGATCCTAAACGGCATTGGATGGGTCCGTTCTCATCCATTGGTTACCCTTGAAATAATAGTCATAGTGATTAAATTGATGACATGGTAATAACAATAATCACATCAGTTTTATTGGCAATTAGCTAATGCTGGTGATTTATATTCTTAATTACATTGTGTGAATGGACGTATGCTCATGAAAACGAACCCTCTTTAATGACGTTTCATGATGACGTGCGGTAACAGATGACAGAATAATGGGAAAGTACGTTTGTGATGTTTAAAGGTGAGAACGACCCCTTCCAATGCCGTTTCCAAGGCATGGTACGGCACGATCTACATGTACGTGTTTATGGGATTATAAATGAGAACAAATCCTTCCAGCGCGGTTTACCGCTGCAATGGTAACATAAAGGAAGGCCGAAGGAGATGAGGAAGACAGAAGCTTAGAGGAACGACGCGTCGTTTCTCTAAGCTTCTGTTCGACGGAATATAAGGACAGTTATCATGTTTTTCATTCGGCTCAGCTCATCGTATGGCCCAAGACAGAACACTCTGGAGGTCCATCATCGACAGAGTCAGTCATGACTCACAAGACCATCACGACGGTACCATATGGTTACAGAGTGATATACATGTAGTGTTTATGAGATTGCTAATGAGAACGAACCCTCCAATGCCGTTTACCTCGGCATGGCGACATACGACTACATCATGATATATGCGTTTATGAGATTGCTCATGAGAACAGACCCATACAATGCAGGGTCATGGTTACAGCGTGATCTACATGTATGTGTTTATGATATTGCTAATGAGAACGGACTTCAATGCCGTTTACCTCGGCATGGCGATAGATTTTTCTCACTACCGTCACTTTGTGAAAACAAGGACGATATGACTACATCATGAGCTGTTTATTTATGAGATTGATAATGAGAACGGACCCATACAATGCCGTTTAGGATCCAATCATTCGGATAATCTATCACCACTGCCGCCTACCACCTCGTCTGTCACCTGCCGTTATCTCCGTGAAAACTATCGCTTCTTTCCCCCCTGAGCCATCAACGATAAATGTCACAGCAACGAGCTCATCATCAATCCCACCTCATACAAATTAATTCTTTTAATAGCGGGATGACAGGTCTTAAAGATAAAGTTGAGTTCTGGTCATGGGATTGCATTGTGAGAGAAACGGCGTGGAATCGATCAGAAAAGGTTGATAATCCAACATATAAGTATTGGTGTGTACTGCAAGGTTCTGGCATCATCAAAATGATAAGAAATTTGGCCCAGTCTTAGTAAAGTTACAAGTACAATGTACTGTACAGAGACAAAATAAATAGGACTACATGTGGCATACAAATCCGTCTCGATTTGTATGCTGTTACATGCCATACTTAGAATATTCAGACATTTGAAGAGCCATGCTTTTCAGGGAACATTTTGTTATCTGATGTTCTTCCAAACTAATAACGCTCACAAATTAGTTTCACCTCTTCCCAGAACTCAACTTTCCCTTTAAGTTCCTTGGCCAAACAGATAGGTCCATGAGAATAACTATCAGGCCGAGGAATAGGAGCATCTTCATCATATGGATGATGCTTTCGTGAAGGAAATCATGGTGGAGAGATATACTAACGAAGGTCTAGAAGCATTTCCTTTTGCAACGCTGGCCAACTCAACATTAAACTTATGCCCAGAGCGTACAATCCAGTTCGTGAATCGCGCAAGGATCTATTCACAAACGCATTTTTTTTTTAAAGTTGTCTGTGATCAAACGGATGAAAACATTGCAAAGTCTGAATAATTACTGCAAAAAAACAATTCTATGTATTCAGAAGATCCGAGTAGTATGCTACCATATGGCATATAACCGATTCATTGGTAACAGAATCGCGAAAGCATTCGAGAAAGCAACTCCACGGTAATGTCAATGCCATATTAATTATCACATAGAAATCCTATTCCGGTTTAATACGTAGATGTTATGGTCGCATATTTCAAAAGGGAATGGACAAACTATACCAAAAAACAATTGCCTTCGGTTGGTTCTTTAAAAGTCTTAGCAATCCTGTTTGGTGAGGATGGTAATGGATTATATATGCTATTCATTGGTTGCCCTTTTAATAATCGAAATAGTGATTAAATTGATAAATTGGTAATCACAATATTTACATCAGTTTTAATGGCAATTAGTTGATGCTATATATCGGTGTCGCTAGTGAGTTAATACTGATTGCCATCATTGATATTTTCAAGGATGGGGGAAATAGCTATAATATTGATGCAGTTCAATTACGCAAATGACTGCAATTAATATTCAACCTACAATAGAGGTTCTGTTCCATACTGTTTCACACTTTTAGGAAAGGTTGAAAGTGGATTAGATATGCAAACATATTTTCCCTCTCTTAGGATTAGAAATATTGTCAAAAAACTATAAACTTTCAGGCGAAAACATTCTCTGCACCAACGATTTGCTTCTTTGATAATTTTTACTTTTTTCAGTAGCGGTCAGTAAAATGTTTCATGAAGAACACCTCTTAAGTTACAATGGCGAAACAAACATTGGTAAACCACTGTCGTCAATATACTAACATGAGAAGAGAAGAAGAAGATGGTACAGAGGATGTGGAGAGGGAGGGGACGGGGAAGAGAGGGGATAGATAGTTGAGAGAAAGGGTTAAAGAGGGAAAGAGAGGCAAGGGCGGAAAGATATATAGAGGCAGAGAATGAGTGAGAGAGAGAAAGAGAGACGGGACGGGGGAGAGCCGTTTAACAAATACAGACGGAGACATTTTTATCGAGCGGATAGGTTTCACATAAAATATCTGAAATATGATGTAAAAATCTAAGTGCTATGCAACTCTAAACCACGGAAATTGCTGGAGGATTGATTTTTGTGCATATTCTTGGTAACATTTGTGATTGCATTTTTTTAAGAGTTGAAAAGTTCGGAGTCGATAACAAACCACAACTTGACAGCCGTCACTCAAACAACATTCTGTAGAAAAAGCAATAGACTGCATTGTTTCACACTATTTCCCATTTCCTATTTCACACGCGGCGTCACTTCAAATGCGGCATTACATACACATGTGCGTCAATCACGTTCATGATTGAAATTAGAGCATGCGTCATTAATTCAACGCAATATGATTAAGAACCGTTCCCTTCGCATTGCTTTTGTGTTTTCATCACGCGTTTTTTCATTGTCACTCTCATATAGTGCGTCATAGACCACCGTCAGTCACTGACGCAATGCTACGTTAGCGAAACGACACCTCGTGTGTAACAGGCATTGCTTTAGTGTTTGGTTGTGTTTTTATCACGCGTTTGATAATTGTCACTCTCATATGGTGCGTCAATGACAGCCGTCAGTCATTGACGCAGTACTACGTCATTAAGACGACGCCTCGTGTGAAGCCAGTATGGAAGCCAAACGCATTGTAACTTACCAGGATACAGCTACTGATGACGATGATGAAAGCGATGCCGAAAACGCCGTGCTGATGGTATGGTTTGATCCGCATCCCGCTCGACGCCATGGTCGAAATGGTTGATGAATTATCAGAGATGCGTCAGCTTGTGTCAGGTCCCGATTGTTAATCCTGAACAAGTACTCAGACGTAGAAACAAGTCCCGTGTCTATTGAGCGTCTTTGTAGACCTGTAATATTATACAAAAAGAAACAAATGCAATATTGAATGATAATAGTTTGGTGTTATTAAGGGTAGCGAAATCAGTTTAAAGATAAAGTTGAGTTCTGGTCATGCGATTGCATTGTGAAAGAATTGATCATCCAGCATATAAGGATTGGTGTGTACTGCAAGGTTCTAGAATCATCAAAATGATACGAAATTCGGCCTAGTCTTGGTAAACTTACAAGCACTTTACACAAAAAGTTGTATATGGGACTACTATGGGACTGGCATAAAAATTCGTCCCGATTTTTAAGATGTTACGTGCCATATTTAGAATATTAAGGCATTTGAAGAGCCACACTTTTCAGGGAACATTTTGTATCTGATGTTCTACCACAATTGCATAATAACAATAATAACGCTCACAAATTATATTTCACCTCTTCCCAGAACACAACCTTCTCTTTAATATTACTCTTTTTGCGGGCCCTGCAATTATTGAAACGCAAGTTTTGCCAGGTACCGATGTAATTCACCAGGGTCGAGAGGGTACAAGTATGTGGGTAAGATACATTGTAAGTACCCGTCAATGATCGGACTCAGGGCCGCTCTTAGGTGAGCCAAGAGCCTTTACCAATTATACTGACCACAGTGCTCCCAGCCTCCCACTATATGCCTACTAATACACCACGCCATCCATTAATTATTCATTGGGACTTCCATCCCAAACGATAAATTACAGTCGCATTTGACTAAAAACGATAAGGATTTTGATAGATATATATAATACATATAATTATTAATCTTTTCCAATCGCTTTTCTGAAGCATTTTGTTGAACTCGTATTGGGTCTGCCAACGAACCCAGCAAAATTGTGCTGAAGGTTCGTGGGCATACAATATACATCAGGGAGCTGCAACACCGGCATTCAATACCCTTTTTGCATAGCTTCAGCAGATGGGTTTGGGAATTATTTATAATTACATCTTATCGTTTTCATTTTCAGTCAAATGGGACGGCAGGTCCCGCCTGAAATCCATTACCACCCGTAGCCTCTCGCTGTCACGATAGAGCGTCAGTTTATTTTGCGAGTCACGCACGCCTGAAACGAGAATCTTCTTCCATAATGTACATACATGAATAAACAAAACAGAGACAGCTACCCAAGGGCAGCTTGTTGAATCAGAGATTCCATTATGCTTCTCATATCCTGCCATGTGAGAACCCCCTACCCCCCCCCCCCTCGTCCACCTCCTCCCTCCAAAACAGTTCAAAAGTTGTACATATGTTGTTTCTTCTCCTTCCATTTCACATAAAGTCCCTCAATCTCCGTTCGCCATTTCTTATCTACTTCCCATAGTCTTTTTGACTTCCAAATTAATTTGCCTGTAGATAATATAGAAATTATCGAGACCGCCCAAAATGGAATATATTTTGTTTACATCATACCTTTCTTTCTCTTGTTACTTTATTGATTTCTTAATCTGTTTTTCCGCAAAGAGGTGGAGGCGTCCCCAATGCGCTACCTAGTTACGCCACTGGTATCAGGTGCACGACCTCATGTAACATTATGACGTCAAGTTTTATATCCTTTAAAGTGAAGACACGAATACCAGGAATAATATTTCTAGCTTGGCACAGAGGTCCATTAACTCTAAGACCTGGTGGCAAAGAATATTGTAACGTGGCGAACATTAAATCTTAAAGATATTGCTTAAAGACTGGAGGGGGTGGGGCTTGCGGCTGGAACGAAGATGAGAATGGTCTTTGGAATAACATAAACTGCCAGAGATTGTGCAATATTAAAGGGCAATGAACTGACAATATTAAAATCGAAAGTCTTGTATTTTGAAAATGTTGAAGTAGGGCCATTAACTGTACTTCAACCACTCATTCGATATGGTAAGTAGTCTTGAAGTTCTTTTCTAATAATCATCATGTGTATTAATTGATGAGGGTTTCTACATGTTCTAATAAAATAAAACTAAAACAGGATAGTGAAACGACACTTGAAATACAACTACAATTCAAACAGGCTCGTGAAGGAGACACTTAAAATACAATTCTAAAGAGATTCGACACAACAGGCATACAAGCCGTAGAAGATGGCAAATGAATACGCTGCAATTGATGCCTTTGCAATTGGAATATGTGGTTGGGTTTATCAGTTTTTGTGTTGCATGTCATTGTGATTTTCAGAATATTCAGGGAAACAGTTCATTTTGTTGAAGTTTAGCGAAGTGTCTTTTGCTCGATCCGATTAAATGCCCTTTCGATAATACATGGATTCTCTACGCAAGAAACCCTTTGATATAACCATGGATTTTACTAAAGCCGTAGGTGAAATGTTTGCTTACATTTTCCTTATCTTTCGAAAACGGTTATATTGAAATAATCAAACAATCTCTCCGTCAATCACTCAATCAATCAATCATTATTTTTAGTCTCACTTGAACTGTTAAAGTACACCTCCATGTAAAGCAGAAGATCGTTCTCTACAGATCCCAGCAAAGTATGTCACTGTACCGGGATCTGGAGTGACGTACGTAGCCTCCAAAGCAAAAATGAGACATTTTTAAAAAGTGAAAGAAAATGGGAAGGGAAAGGAAGAAAGGGGCAAGATAAAGAAAAAAACTGTGGGATAGCCTTCCGCAAACTCACCTTTGTCGGCATTATTGTTACTTTACATCCGCCGAGTAAAACCAGTGCCCCCTCCCTTTTAAGTTGATATAAGACGCCAGCGCGCTGCAGCGGTACGGTGGGTACAGTGGCGGTAATCAGACACTGCACTGAAAGGGTGAAAACTTATGCGAGTGCTCTTTTCCAACCAGAAACAGTCCCAATACAGCAGCTATAAATCAAAACCTGGTGTCGGCTTGACAGGTTATTAATTTATATTTCTTCAAACCGTGGGTTACCGAAATATCATTTCAAATCTCGGTTTCACGATATGCGACGTAATCGTTCTCCATGGAAACAGCATATCTCTGTCTTTCAATCTATCTCTGTTTATCTCTCCGTCTCTCTCTCTCTCTCTCTCTCTCTCTCTTTCAGTCTCTCTATCGCTCTATGTCTTCTCTCTTTCTCTATTTCTCTCTTTCTATGTGTCTCTGTCTGTCTCTGTCTGTCTTCTCTCTCTCTCTTTCTCTCTCTCTCTCTCTCTCTCTCTCTCTCTATCTCGCTCTACTGCTCTTTCTTCTCCAGTTCCCCCATCTCTCTCTCTTTGACCTCTCTGTTCCCTTCTTATCCTCCTTACTTTCCTCCCTCTTCCTCTCTCTCTCTCTCCTCATCTCTTTCCCCTATCCCCTACTCTCCCACTCTATTCATCTCTTTCTCTCACTCACTTCCCCCCTCACCCCAACCTTCTTTAATTTTCTCGCATGTCTATATCCAATTCCATTTTGGTCATTCGATGTAACCTCGATATCCTATAGGCCTAATACATTACCCTAAATGTGGCAATATCTCTGTCTCAGTTACACCATTTATATTCCACCAATAACCGCATACGAACTCCAAGTGATAAAGATGTTCGAAATTATGTTAACCGATTGGTAACAAGATATGAACTGAAAAAAACGAGACGCTGTTAAGTGTACATGCCATCGGTGATACAGGGCAGTGTGCACTACTTTATAACGCGAGGTTGAATCACGGCAAAGTACCTTTTCTTTTCAGTCTGTTACGTCCACTGCAAACGAGGCGTCGATTGCTTGCTTTTCCTAGGTCTGCGTCAGCGACTGACGCGGTCTTTTACGTGCCAAGTTAGAGTGATATCTTACAAGAAATAAAATAAATTCAAAATAAACAACGCAGACACTGTGTGGAGTTACTGGCGTAGTCACTGCCTTCTTCCATTGGCTTGGTGAGCGTATTTAATGACGCAATCGAAATAACGCCTAGTGTACAACAGGTGAATAAACTTTCGATAATATAAATATAATTTCGATAAGTGTGTAAAACATAAAATAAGCAAGCACACCTAACTATAAATAATAAATGGATTGTACACAATCTGCATTGTCGGTGTAGATTGTCTAGGTAATTATGGACTGTCCACTCCTGAAGATGCGAAAGCAAGTGAAATGACTCCCCTCCCTAGAGATGTAACAAGTCTTGGCAAATCAGAACACACGTACGCCAACATTTCTAAAAACATCCGGGATAAAAGACAAACAAAATCATCATCAATTCGTCTGTAGTATGTGCTCATCGGCATACGTTACGTAGCAATCGCACTATAATGTTCTTTTGTCTTGTGCTCCGCCACGCTTTATCACATGATCGATTGGAATGACGCCGGATGAGCAAAAACAGTTCGCCGCAATTTCCTCTTACTTTTGTTATTTTATAAGGAATACGATCAGAGCCTGCCCTGAAGAAATATGGTAATGAAAGTGATCGATCATAGTGATAACATCGTTTAAAGAAACACAGGAGACGTGTTAGAGGAGATAGAATAACTTGTTTAGTGTGGACACGTGACACCTACCAAACGCGCTAGTTCTATTTTCTCCTTGGTTTCCTTGAATGGTTCGATAACTTTGAATATGAGATGAAGTGACTCCAAGTTCACTATAAATCGATGAAGATGAGGAGTAAATTAGTTTAGGAAAGAAAAGTCAGGCAGTTTCATCCTCCAAAAAATCCCTTCTGACACGCTAAACAGACGGATGGCGATGTTAAGTCAACTCGGGAAACAACTTGAAAGAATCCCAAGTTATTTAAGCATTTGCAAGTTCATGCTCGTAGTTGGTAGTATTGGCTAGGCGATCAAAAATAAGTCGGCCTAGCTCGTAAAAGTTAGCATTCATTCGAAACCACATCAGAGTAGCTCTTGTTGAATGACTATCATGAGAATATTGAGCATGTTCAAAAGTTGTTGAGCTTGGAGTAGAAAAGACAACTCTATGGTCTATCTCGAGCCAGGTGAAAGACGACTGTTGCTGTCCAATGCTCTGCAAATAACTTGAGAAACAAGTCTAAATCGGGGTCAGTCAATAAGACCCACAGCCAATGAGA